TTTTATTTTTAATATATATATATATATATATATATATTTGTATATATATGTGAATTTATATACATATATTTTGTATATATATGTAAATTTATATGCATATATTAATTTAAATACATGTAGATGAATATTTGAATATTTAATAATATTTTTGAATGATGAATCAACAGTTTTTTGCTGAGTAAGCAGTTTTTTTTTGCTGAGTTAGCAGTTTTTTTGCTGAGTCAGCAGTTGCGTTTGTTTAATTTGGAAAAAAGTTAAAAGTCTGGGTATTTATGTGAAAGTTTTGAAAAGTTCAGGTATTTATATGATAATTTTATAGTTCGGATATTTATTTGGGATTTTTGTAAAAGTTCGGGTATTTTTATGTGATTACCCCTTGAAAAATATATATACTAATACATATATCTTTATATATAATTAAAAAATATATATACTAATACATATATATTTATATATATAAATAAATATATATAAAAATTTAAATATATTTATTTTATATATTTATACGTATATATATATATATAAATATAGTTATATTCAGTGTGTATATATATTTATATATATAAATTTAAATACATGTATTTTATATATTTATTTGTATACACATATGTATAAATATAGTTATATTCTGTGTAAATAAAACTATAATGTATATATATATATGAATTCGAATATGTATATACATAAATATATATATATATACGTATAAATATTCATATATGTATATATATGTATGTGTGTATGTATATATATAAATATTTATATGTATAAACATTTATGTAAGTAATATATTAATGTTATATGATATCAGAAGTTTAATTTGGAGAAGTTGGATGATTGCCAATTGAAACTCTAGGGTTAAAGAGGATTGAGTTGGAACAGTGAAAGGATGGGTGACCTACTTAAAAGTGAGTTCGGGGATTAAATTTCAGAGCTTCAGGATCATGGTCGGGGTCGAGATCAGGAATATGTTTTGAATTTTTCTTTGAAATATTTCAACTGATTTCGGTTGAAAATTCCGTTGGAATTTTCCAATGGATATCGGTTGGAAATTCTGGATTGCGATTAGAAATCCGTTGAAAAATTCCAACGGATTGCGGTTGAAAATTCTGTTGGAAATTTTCAACAGATTGCGGTTAGAGATTCGTTGGAAATTTTCCAACGGAAAAATCCGTTGAAATTCCGTTGAAAATTCCAACAGTTGTCCAACAGACACCGATATCTAACGATGAAATTCCAACGGATTTATCCGTTGGAAATCCGTTAGAAACATTAATTTCCAACGGAAATTTGGGGCCATTCTTTTTGTAGTGATAATTATACTCTTGTGTATTTGATTTTGATATTATAAATGGAAAACCATATATATATTTCCAAACTAGAGGAAAGTTATGGTAAAACTTTGTTTGAAATGATGTGGTAGAAAGCAAAGCGCGAATCCTATACCAAAGGTGTGTCCTTCCCCGTCCTCTCGTACTAGAGAAAGGTCCTCTCAATACTTTAACGTCTACACCGTATATGAACCGAACTGTCTCAATCTTCTGCATAAAAATTCAAATAATTTTGTAGATTGGTATAAATTTTTTAGAAATGCAACTTTTCATGGCTTAAAAAACTGTCAAACTTAAGTGGGACCTAACCCAACACTTTACGGCACGAGCTGACGACAGTCATACACCACCCGTGTCTTGCCGAAGGCACCTTTCTCTTTCTAGAGGATCCGCAGCATGTCAAGTATTGGTAAGATTTTTGTAGTTCGGATATTTATTTGGGATTTTTGTAAAAGTTCGGGTATTTTTATGTGATTACCCCTTAATTGAATGAACAATTGAAAAGAATAATTTGATTGTAAAAGAACAATACGATAAATTGAAAATCATATGATTAAGATTAATATATACGTTGAAATATAGGGGTATAAAATTATAAAACGTGTGCAATCATATTCAATAAAAATACCCATTTTTTTTATATTGGACTCACTGATATAAAACCATGTAATCCCATATTCTAAAATCCTTATCTTTTAAATTTGAAACCTGTTATTACTAGATTCACGACACATCTTTATAGATGTTCTATGTATAGAGATATTTTTATATTACATTTTATTTACTATAGATACTAAAAATAAAACAAGATAGAGATAGAGAGAGAAGGTCGGGGGCCCAAAGGTGTAAAGTGGCAGCAACTATGAAGGGCGCCTTGTTAGTTGTTGTTATGACTCAGTCACTCTCTCTCCCATCCCATCACCCTTTTTGTTTTTTCTTCTTTTTCTTCTTCCTAAAATTATAGAAAATAATCATATTTTTTCCCTTTTTTTTATTGTCTTTTAAATATTGGGAATTTTTTTATAAACAAATAATTACAAAACATTACATATCAGAACAAGCACATCATGACTATTTAAAAGAAAAAAAATATTGACTGAAAAACACCAACTTCTTGAAAAAAAAGATGTTTGATTTCGGTTCGGTTCAATTCGGTTATTTGCTTAATAACCGAACGACTGAGGAAGTTGAATAACCGTTCGGATTCGGTTCGGTTTGATTAATAACCGAATAATCGCGGTTAACCGAACGGTTATTAGGATTTTTATAATATTTTAATTTTTATCCTTATTATTATTAGTGTTATTTTTTTGTAGTTCATTTGTACCTTATGTGTTTCACCTAATAAACCATAAAATTTAATATTTTTAATTTTTAATCTAATTATTGAAATTTTTGTAGATTTTTTGTAACTTTTTTGGAGGATTAATTATTTTATGAATTTATTTGGATAGATATTTTGAAGTTTGTATAGGATTAATATTCTTTTTTTTAAAATATATCATAACCGAACCGAACCGATCTAAAACCGAACCGAATAAGCTGAAAAATTTAACCGTTTGGTTATAATTTTATTATGCAAAAACCGATCCGAAAACCGAACCGAAATGCAAAATGGTCACCCCTATTATGTTTGATGTTAGTTGTAATCAAATAAAATTAAAATTGATCAAGTAACCTTATATTTTGGGTCATTGTTTAGATTAACATATAGAATCGTTGAAGTTATGAAGGAGCACATTCTAGATATTTTTAACATCATCACAACCTTTTTTTTTTATTACAAAATCTATATTATTGTATCAATATCATTTATATCCACCCTTACATTATAAATTTAGGTTTCATTAGTGGCTTTGTATTGATAAAATATAATTGATATATCAATCTATGTCGCATAATATATTTTATGATTTGTATTTGGTGATAGATATAGTACAGGGCTGTATATTATGGGAAAATGATACACAAATCATTTAATAATTTGTACTAATACGATCCAATATCTTTTACAGGTTTGAACCGTTATAGGTCATAAATAATATTAATTTGGTTATATTGATAAAATAAACAAAAAGTATACATATTTTCATTAATTTTATACAGAATAATTTAAATAATTAATATCAACTTTAATATCACTAGAAACGTATCACTTTTTTGGAACCCATTATTTATTACGACTTTATTCCAAATGCATGCACATTGTTTAATCGGCAAACCGGGTTCGAGTTGCTTCCGGTTTTCACTGGTACGGCCGACACTAGTAAACCAATTTGGTTTTGGTTTGCTCCGAAATGGGTTTGCACCCTAAGGGAAATGTGAACAAATACACGAAAGTGTTGCGAAAAAATACGAAACTTTACGTTTTAAATTGGTTCAACTTTTTACAATTGAATGACAACGAATTTTAAATTGTATATTTAACATCTAATGAATCCAATTGATATTAAAAATACGAAAATTTCCTCTTGGAAAAAGGTGAGATTTACATTATGTTAATATCATGAAACTTTTATTTTAATTGGTTCAACTTCTTTTTTTTTTTTTGCATAATCTCTTCTGCATAGTACAATATGAGTTACCATATCATATAATATGTGTTTAATGATGCCCAAAAATGTTTGATTTTAAAATAATTTCTCACCAGAATTTTATTTTTTTGAAAGAGAGAGAGAGAGAGGAGAAAAAGTGCTTTTGTTGCAAATTGATTTGCAACAAGAAACCCTCCTCTGTCTTTAGCTGGTTGGCTCTTTGAACACAATGGAAAAACAAGAACAGAGGCATGAAATTATTACACTGAATAGCGTCAGTGCCTAAGTAATGCACAGATTCATCGAAGTTTGAAGGTTTTTGTACTGCAATTAGGGTTTTGTTAGATGTCGGGAATTAGTAGTAAAAATGTGATTTTTTTTTCTGGGAAGGGAATAGAAAAAGATGAAGACGAGTGTCGTGTGGGTTCTGTTCTGTCTTGGCTTTGTCTCTCCCCCCACCTCTCACATTCTCTTTCTCCACCAAATTGCCTTTTATTTCCTTTTTCCTTTTTGCTTTTTTTTTTTTTCTTTTTTGATTTTTTTTTTCATGTCTGCAATTGTCTACGTCTGTTCCTTCTGCTCCCTCTTCTCAGTACCTGCAAATGGAGGAAGAAGAATCATACTTTGAAACCCTTCTCACTGTTTGATGCCCACGCTTCTCTCTCTCTCTCTCTCACTCTCAGTTATGATTCCAACCATACCCATCTTTCCTAGTTATAGAAACTTTTTAAATTAGCTCCTTGCGTGGATTCTTGTCTTTAATTTTGCTTCGAAAAGGAAAGGGCTTGTCACTTCAAAGTCTACGAATTTCGCTATTTCCTTTGATGGGTCTTTATTGTTTTGTTGTCATTTGATCAGAGCGACCTAGTTTTTGCTCAAAGGAGTGAACTTTTTTTTTTCGGAAGGTTTCATGGAATTTGACTTGAACCATGAAGCTGCGTCCGTAGGGGAGAAGAGCGATGATGGAGGAGGGCTTGTCAAGGGTAGTTCCGGTAATTCACCGTCTTCTTCTTCCTCTTGTTCTTCTGGGCTATCATCTTCTTCTTCAGCTTCTGCATCTTCCATATACTCTGAGCTTTGGCATGCCTGCGCTGGTCCTCTCACTTCACTGCCCAAGAAGGGCAATGTGGTCGTGTACTTGCCACAAGGTCACTTGGAGCAAGGTGCTATGGTTTCATCTTCAGCACCTTTATCTCCCATGGATATTCCCAAATTTGATCTTCAGCCCCAAATCTTCTGCAGGGTTGTGAATATCCGATTACTTGTAAGTTTGTCCTTATCAGTGATCGACTAATGTTATCTAACATTCTCTTGTTATGATTTTTGTGCTAAATGCATTCTTGGACTACTCTTGAACAAGTTATTGTGGCCGATGTTTTCCAAATCGTGTTCTCTTTTGAAAAAGGCAAACAAGGAGACTGATGAGGTCTATACACAGCTTACCCTGCTTCCTCAGCAAGAGGTACTCTGTTTTTCTTCTTTGACACTTCTCTTACTTTTTGATCTATGCTTGGAATGGGAAGGAAAGCTTCACATAATGTGTCTATGAGAGGCCTGCTTCTGCATTCTACTTGAACCAATTTGGTTGATGATTGTTAAATAGTTCCTGAATCGTGTAGGTATTGCTGTATCCCCAGATTCTAGGTGAGATTTTTCATTGGCTCAATGCTGTCTGTAGATGCCATGGTAGATGAGATTCTTACAGGAATTCTGTGTATGCTCTGTGATTTGAAGAATCCTTGTCTAATTTAGGGGATAACAGAAATATGTATCTTTGAAATTGTTGTTTTGCTTTTTGGATTTCCATTCTTCCCGATTGTGATGATACGTAGATGAAAGTTCTTGGATGTTGTAGCTAGCTGTTCTAAATTTGGAGGGGAAAGAGCTCCTGGAGCTGGGAGGGGATGGAGAAAGGAATGGAAGTTTGTCTACAAAACAGACACCTCATATGTTCTGTAAAACCTTAACGGCTTCTGACACGAGCACCCATGGAGGGTTTTCGGTTCCTAGAAGAGCTGCTGAAGATTGTTTCCCTCCTCTTGTACGGTTGTTTGGATCTCCTATTAATCAAATTTTTCATTTTGTATTTCAACTTTCTTGTTCAAGTCACTTAATTGAGCATTTTGATGGATATCAGGACTACGATAAGCAGAGGCCATCTCAAGAGCTTGTTGCAAAGGACCTCCATGGAGTAGAGTGGAGGTTTCGGCATATTTATAGAGGTAGCTCGGCACTATCTTTTGGATGATTCATCTCTTTTCTTGTTGGTGCAGACCAAAGTTTTTATCTTTGTTTCTGTTACTTCAGGTCAACCAAGGAGACATCTGCTCACCACAGGTTGGAGCATATTTGTCAGCCAAAAGAATCTCGTCTCTGGTGATGCAGTTCTCTTTTTGAGGTAAGTCATTTTAGCAAAACGATAGCTACAGAAACAAGATTCTTTCTAGCTATCAGATGTAGAGAAAAGGGTGGATGTTCTGGTTTGATCTTGGTGTTATGAAGCTATTGATCTGCAAAATCTTGAACATTTTTCGTCTTTTCTTACAAACATATACCATCTAATATGAATCTGCCTTTTTTAGAGGGGAAAATGGGGAGCTGAGACTAGGAATCAGAAGAGCTGCTCGGCCAAGGCATGGACTTCCTAGTTCTGTTATTGAGCAGAACTCATTCTCGAACATTCTCTCTCTCGTGGCTAATGCAGTGTCTGCTAAAAGCATGTTTCATGTATTCTACAGCCCACGGTACCAACACCAAAACAGTTTCTACATATGTGAAAGTGTTTCTCCCGCACAAAGTGGAATGAAAACAACATAGTGTCGCTTCATGGTGTTCATATGCAGTGCCACCCATGCGGAGTTCATAATTCCCTATGAGAAGTATATGGCATGCATCGGGAATCCTGTGTCCATAGGCACGAGATTCAGAATGCGGTATGAAATGGATGACTGTCCTGAAAAAAGGTATTCTTGTTAATGTTTTGTGTGGCAGGATGTGGTTTTCTTGCAAGACCAATGAGTTAGTTAGTGTTTTTCTTGTAGATGCACTGGTGTAGTGACTGGAATCAGCGACCTAGACCCGTATAGGTGGCCAAACTCAAAATGGCGGTGCTTACTGGTGCATCCTCATTTTCATCTTTCCAGTTCTCATGATCAAACAATCGGAAATTTGCTTTATCTCAATCCACCTTTTCTTATTTGACATTGTTTGGTAGGTACGGTGGGATGAGTCTTTCATGGGAGATCACCAAGAAAGAATTTCCCCTTGGGAGATGGATCCTTCGGTGTCTCTCCCACCCTGGACCATTCAGCCATCTCCAAGGCCAAAAAGGTCTCGGATAGGTCTATTGAACACTCCACCCGGAAATCCCATAATGGGTAACCAACGTACATGTTCTTCTTTGCTGTTTACCCATTTGCATCATGTCCTGAAAACAAATTGTCCCTTTGTTCATGTGTTCTTGATGCAACAGAAAGGGGTGCATTTTTGGACTTTGAGGAGTTGGTCAGACCCTCTAAGGTCTTGCAAGGTCAAGAAAATATAGGTTTTGCATCACACGTACATGGATGTGATGTTATGAACCGCCGAAAACTGGATATTACAATGCAATCTCACCCAAATCCGGTTTTTGTTCCTTCTGGAACGATGGCTAAATTTGATGAGTTTATAGATGCCACGACCCGTGCCTACTCAAGCGTTTTGGACCTGGATAGGTTTCCAAGGACCTTGCAAGGTCAAGAAATTTGCTCGTTTCGATCTTTACCACAAACAGCTGCTTTTAATGCAACTGCTTCTGGAGCAACCATTCTTGGATGCAACAATCCCTTTTCTTTTCAATCCAACAGATCGAGTTTCTACCCGCTTGCGTCACAAGGGTTCAGAAGCTCTGGTATTCCATATCACAACTTATACAACATTGGAGAAGAGCCTTCGAGACGGCATTGTCACATGATGAGTTGTCCTAGGGAGACAGGTGCTGTCGTGAACAGAGTACAGAACATGGGTACGCAAAAGGAGAGTGTCTTGCCAGAAAAAGTTCCCACTGATTCAGGCTTGATGACAGATATGACGAACGGGCAAAAGGATGATGATTTTAACAGGAAAGTCCCAGCGGGATGCAAACTTTTTGGATTCTCCTTACCTGCTAAGACAACTGCATCAAACCCAGAAAACTCAAGTAAAAGGATCTGCACAAAGGTGAGATCTTTAATCAATGTTTGCATCTTTGGCTTGAAGCAGCACTCTCCAAATGCCTCTTCTTATCGTTTTCTCTGATGTGGGTTTTGTTAATTGGTTTGAAGAAGGTTCACAAGCAAGGCAGCCTTGTGGGAAGGGCTATCGACTTATCCAGACTCAATGGGTATGATGACCTCATTACAGAGCTGGAACGGTTATTCACCATGGAAGGGCTTCTCCATGATCCAGACAAAGGATGGAGGATCTTATACACTGACAGCGAGAACGACATGATGGTTGTTGGTGATGATCCATGGCGGTAAGTTCCTCCATCTCTTATGTTCCATTAGCAGTTTTCTTGGCATCCGTATGATATCTGCAAATTGTATCGTCAAGCTGAGAGAAAACCCTGAACTTGGCTCTGATATGGTGTAGACAAAGTTCCTGTTTTCATATGTCGGAAACAAGTTCATCGATGTCAAATCTTGCTATTCTTGCTGTCTGGGAGACTAATGTATACTGATATATACATAAAAACAAAATGGGTTTTGGTTTTTGGCAGTGATTTCTGCAGAGTGGTGGCGAAGATTCACATATACACAAAAGAAGAAGTGGAGAAAATGAACCTGGGAAGCATCAACGAGGATAACCAGAGTTGCTTGGAAGAAGCTGCTCTCATGGTGGAAGCATCGAAATCATCTTCTGTGAGTCAACCTGATTCCTCTCCGACCATAACTAGGGCTTGATGAATGGTTTAAGATTAGAAACCCTACAGTTTGGTCTGCATTTGCTTCGGTCTGCTTTAGAAAAGACATAAAGCCTCAATCTTTATTGGTTGTTTCTGTCTAGGTTTCATGGGTTTGGATTGTAAAAGATTTGGGATTCTCTTGAGATGTAATTTGATGGAAGTTCCAATGTATTAAGCGTGACACTATTTCGACACGGGCAGAATTTCAAGTATTGTCTCGATTCATGAATCGGATATCTGGAATTTCGGATATTTATCTACCGATTGAGATTGAGCATGAGGCGATGATGGTATTTGGGAATTAGGGTTAGGATGCTTCGACCGAATGGACCTGTACCACGTCTCAACCAATCACTCGGGTACATCCCTCTTTCTTCTCTTTTTCCTCCCCTCGATCTCTATCGTGGCACCCTCTCCGGTACCTGAACCCCGGCCGGATAATCTAACCGAGAAATCTGAAGGAACGAAACCGAGGTTGAATAAACCAGAAAACTCGGGTACTCAAACCTTGATCATCCGTGATTGCAACAGTTCATCTCTACCCTTAGTGGGTGTTCATGCATACATGTATATGCATATGCTGTAAGAAAAACAAAAGCTGCTAAAGACAGTTCTTGAAGTGGTTTTATTGCACGTTTCATGGAGAAAGTGTCTTATTACCATTTGTGCGAGTATGAATGATGATCTGTTAAGGTTATATTACCACATCTTCTCACCTAAATGCTGCTGCTACTGTTCTTTGAAGAGTTCACGACCGATGACAATCCTTCTGATCTCACTTGTTCCAGCTCCGATTTCGTACAGTTTTGCGTCCCTGAGAAGGCGGCCTGTCGCATACTCGTTTATGTACCCGTTTCCTCCTAAACATTGCACGGCCTGCACATAGGCATCATTGTCGCCTTTTCAGTCCCAAAATCACATCACAAGTCTTATTACAGGACATGTTTCCGACTTCAACTAGCTTGCTGTTTGGTTTTCAGACATGACATATATAACTCCTGCTTTCTTGATAATGTAATGAGATTTCTTGAATTTCAGGTGATCGAATCTAAGTTGTTTTGGTGCACCCGATAGCCAAATTCGTCAGGACTGCCAGTCAATCTTGTCATATGAACGAGATAGAACTCGAAAACGAGGAGTCTAGTAAGACGGTAGTACTTGACCTGTAAAGCAACTTGAGTCGCTCTTTCAGCTGCGCAAAGAATCACTCCGGCGCAATCCTACAGTAAAACACGCAAAACCACATGAGTTTTATACCGTAATTCCTCGTCCATCTTGACGTGAACAGCAGAAAAAGATATCGAGGAAAGATAAAGTACGTGTCTCGATAAAGCACCTTAGGATCAATTTTTCCACTGTCGCATTCTCTTGCAACTGAGTAGACGTATGATCTGAAATGTGCCGAGAAACAAAACCGTCTGTTCTTATTCTCTTGCCGTGTGATGAAATAAAAAAAACGAGATCAGGGTATTACGAAATTTTCTACCTTGAAGATTGTAATGCGGTGTACATATCCGCAACTTTTCCCTGAAATTTTACATATACACAGCCGAAAACATCATTCTGAGCGTTATTATACCGTGTTTATGTTGTGATCAAGGAAAAGTTTGTAATAGTTCAAGATCAACCTGTATAAACTGGAATTCCCCGATTGGACGGCCAAACTGTTCCCTCTGACGGATATACGGAAGTACTTCATCAAGGCAAGCTTGCATTATACCGAGTGGCCCGGCGGCTAACACAAGCCTTTCCAGATCCAAACCTGACATAAGGACATAAACACCTGCAAGTTTGAAAAACCAGACATGAAGGTGAGACAAGTACCCGGCAAGTGCTTGAACTTTACATCCATGTATACTTGAACCTATAGAGAAGTGGAATCCGACACTGAGATTTAAGCAAAACATAACCTTTTCCTTCCTTTCCGAGGATGTTTTCTTTTGGGACAAAGCAGTTCTCGAAAACAAGCTCACACCTGGTCAGAGAAGACACGTTAGAAAAAAGGAATATAATCCGAAAAAAGTGATACTTGTTCAGAGCATATGGAACAAAATTATTACGTATCGCTTCCCCTCATTCCCAGTTTGTCCAGCTTCTGGGCAGTACTGAACCTGCAAATCAACCGGCAGAAATGGGTTTAAGGAAGAAATTTATTTCCGGTCTTTCTTCCATTAAAATGTCCTGTTCATATGGCTCCACTCTTCTTTTTCTTCACAACAATGCTTAGAAAGGAACTTACAACTTAACTAAACATGATTAAGAAAGATCACATACCCTGGCATTCCTTTCTCTATAATAAAGGCCGTGATTCCTTTAGACCCCGCAGTTATATCGGTTTTCGCATAAACTACCTGATCCAACCCCAAAAGAATGATAGAACACCGTTAGATTTAGTAAATAAACGCATTCGCGTAATGCTATGGAATTAATATGACCAGACAAGATAGAGGGCAAGATCACAACCAGAGTCTGAGCAACTGGACCATTCGTGCACCACATTTTGTTCCCGTTAAGTATATAACCGCCGTCTACTTTCTCAGCTTTGCATTTCATGCTGACAACATCGGAGCCGGCTGAAAAGAGCACAGACAAGTGGATCAAAAGTACATGAAGGGAACCCCTCTCTCTCTCTCTCTCTCTCTCTCTCTCTTTGCAATCTTATTTCAGACACAACCTCGGGACAAAACTCTCAGTAAAACAAGATGTGACTTACCATTGGGTTCACTCATTGCAAGAGCACCAACATGCTCTCCACTGATAAGCTTCTCAACAACAAAAAATTGGTTAGCTAATGAGAGAGTGAAAAAAGTAATCGTCGACATATGGAAAAGATCGAATTACTGTCTTCCTTCCTGATAATCATTTATGAAGTAAGATTTCTACAGCAAAACTATTTGCAAAGGGACCATTAAGACATTACTAACAAGCCCAGACAACTGCATAAAAACTCGGATGAGATTGTACCTTTGGCAAGTACTTTTCCTTTTGTGCAGGAGTTGCATTCCTCGCCTGTTGAATGGAAGTTAAATCTGTCTCTTGTCTTGTAAAAAGCAAACACAACGAAGAAACGTTTTTCAGGCTTGTGTTTACCAATTGGTTGATGCAAAGGTTGGAGTGGGCACCATAGGACAGACCAACCGACCCTGAGGCCCGACTGATTTCTTCCATGGCTATACAATGATACAAGTAACCAAGACCTAGACCTCCATATTCCTCTGCAGGAAAACCAAAAGATTTGTGCTTTCAAGTACCCTTTTAAACTTTGATTGAGAAAACAGCAGACAAGACAAGAGATCTACCCGGTGCAGTTATTCCATGGAGATTGAACTCACCCATGAGCTTCCACAAGTTCACATCCTGATTAAGCAAGATAGAATTAAACACACGAAAACAGCTGAGAAAAGGTAAAGAGTATGGGACAGGAAAGAAACGAGAGGGGTGGAAGCAGACAAACCTTAGGAAATTTATTTGACTGATCGATTTGTGATGCGTGAGGGGCAATGGTATCTTGTGCAAACTTTGAGACACTTTCTTTGAACTGCAATCACAGTGTTAACCCAGAGAGAGAGAAGTTGTCAGTCTCAACAGCTAATGATTCAGAGTTTCCTAAGATCCCAAATAACAGGACAAAGCCATAAAGTACATAAAGGAGAAGGAATTCTACAGTGTGTAACTCGATACCCAGAATCTGAAAATTTAAGCAAACATGGTAAACAAGTAAACTAGTTATTCACGAGAAACCCATTGAAGAACAGTGAATTTCATGTATTTCACAGACAAACAAATCCACTGAAAATGAACTCTGAGCTCCTCCAAATCCAAACCTAAAATTTTCAACACAAACGACTGTATATATATATATATAGAGAGAGAGAGAGAGACCTGTAATTGAGTGTCGTCGAAGAGGAGAGATGACAGAGAAGAGAACTTCCTCTGTGTTCTAATGGCGGAACCAAGAAGCGATCTGGTGGCGATAAGTCTCTGCATCTCCGTTGTTCTTTCTTTCCAGGGCAAGAACAAGATCCACCTTTCACCAAAAAAAAAAGAACAAGATCCACCGGAGCGACAAGAACTCCAGATCAACTTTATTTTGTTTGCGTTTTGTTTTAAACTATAACAAAACGACTATTTATAGATAACCTATATACCCTTTTATTTTTCAACAAAAAAAAAAACTTTTATTTTTAAAACAATTATTTTGATAATTATCCAATAACGTTTGAATTTGATCAGGACCGCCACGTGAAGCTAATTATCGATTAGGAAAACTAATCTAGAGGCTAGAATTTTGAAACTCGCATGCTTTGAATTAAAACATAATTATCAACGTCATCGAAATGGTTAAAAACATAATTCATGGATAGAGAAATTAATTGGGATTACAGAATTATCTTAAACTCAAATAAAATCCAGATCCAGATATTTTGTTAGTGTTGATATGACCGATGAGTCAGACTCAAGATACGATCCACGTCCAGATTCCGTGAGACACTCGTCTTATTCCAACTTAGTTATGTATTATTAGTATCAATGTTAATTTAATATTATTATCTTTAGGTCGGAAGATAATCATGCCCAATCAAAAAAAAAAAAAAAAGACAAATACTTGCTTTAAAAAAAGGTGAGATTATGAAACAAAGTATGTGGCCGCAAAAGGACACAACAGGAAAACCACACAGAGACATGAACAATAATGATCTATGATCTCAGCCTTGTAAGTAAAACGACACCCACACAGACAATTTCAAAGGTGAATTCATTAAATTCACATTGCGGATGGAAAAGAGCCCAGCGAATGGTGTGATGTTTTTTCTTTTTGTGGGTATATAAATAAGAAAAAATAGGAGAGTGGGCATTTACAAGTGATGCTCTACTTTCTCTATGGCTCTCTCCTTAGACAGAAATCCGGCTTGCCTTATGGTTTCCCCGCACCTTTACAAATGACAAAACAAAGAAAAGAAAGCACCTTTTTCTTCACAGTCAAAAACCCATCAGAAGAAGACAATTTACCACAAGAATGGAATCAAGCAGAAGCCCCTCTCCCCCTCCATTAACACTTGCAGAAAACGAGTCTCTGCTTCGAACTATATCATCCTGCACAAAACCCGAGCTCGGGGTGAAAAAAAAAATACTGTAGAGAGTTTAAAACAGTGTAAACAAACGAGCTCGGAATATAACTGAACAAATCGCTTACTCACGGGAATCGGAAGGCGAGAGTGGAGGAATCAAGGATAGCTTGGAGAACTCCCACCTGCTGTTTGGTGCTTCTGATTGTTCTGTGGATATTAGTGTTAAGAATCAAATGACACCCAAAAAAAAATATCATCCCACCATATGGTCCAAGAAACAAACGGGGGGAACGGGGAACGGGAGAGGGTAGAGACGGCAGTATCAGCCGGAAAAAAGAAAGAATCATTGCATATCACTCAGAAGAGTCGGAGTCAATGGAGAGAAACAGCCGGGGCCTTACAGAACGCTTCTGCCGCGGGAACAAGAATGGACTATCTGATCTTCGTCTACTTGCTTTCTCTGGCCTGCTCCCATTCATTCCCAGAAGCAATGAAGCTGCAAATACCCAGTCACAGTCAGTACCAGTAATAATAATAATTTTTTTTTAAAAAATAGGCATGAAATAGAGCACCTTGACCTGAATAGATAAGAGAGGACTGTCCATAAGAAAGAGCAATATTTTACTTAACAGAGGTCTTTTAAATTGGTTACATACCCGAGCATTTCATGGGCGAAGAAGATGAGAATAGAGATACATATAAGTCTAATGCTAATAACCACTAGTTAGATTCTTACTGATAACTTAGTTTAAGTCAGGGAACAAACCGGTCTCTGTCAATGTATCCAAAGCGTCTTCCCTTCCAGAAATCGGCCGGTTTACGTTAAGCCCGTTTGTGGGTGCCGCCTCACCATGATTTCCATGATTCCCACATGCGCTATCACCTAGACTAAGCGAGATCCAATCATCGTTACGGATATCGTTCGACACATCAGCCTGGTTTCTAAAACTGGACTGAGTTGAGGCATCGGGTTTTGCTGGGAGAAATATTTGAAGTGAAGGATCATCTCTGCTAAATGCCAGAGGATTGTCAACTAAGCCATCATTTGCGTCTGCCTCGGATCGCCCAGCTGAGTCTGGGACCATAGGAACAGATGCCATGGATGTCTCCGGAGCCATGGTGTACCCACCATCTATTGCAGGGAGACAGTTCAGTGAACCATGAGGCAAACCGATCATACTTTCTGAGATGTCAGGATCAGGTGCAAATAGTTGGAAACCTGGACCTCCATGAGTTTCAGGAGGCAACGGCCACAGAAAATCATCATCATCGTTGTTGAAAAGACCCAAGCCTGAATTGCCCCCGGCCACTGTGTTCGGGTCCTCGCAGTATGAAGTCATCATACCAGACGGGTGAAGTTGAAAATTTACCCCGGTATCAGTTTGATTGCCGCCATTGTAAGCCGCTCCGGATGTAACCAGGACATCGTTTTCACCGTCTGAATCGCTTAGAACGATCACTTCCGTATTTCTAGCTGATGCAGGCGGATTCCGGTCAACAAAGTTATACCCTGAATCAACATTCATGGATATAGAATCGAGCTCAATCCCGTTGTTTGGGAAATCAAAGGCTCCAACAGCTTCTTGATTTACACTTCGCTCATCACCATCCCTACCACTTCCAGTGGCACTACTACTCATTGGTATAATTTGCTGCTCCTGATATCTTAGCTTCTCTTCTCTGTTTCCAGATGAAAAATCATTGGTATTAGGTTTGCTAACTTCCCAAATGCCATTGCTCTTCCTTATTCCAAATTTCAGACCAGTCGGACCATCTGAACAACCTTCTTGTTTAACTAGGGTCAATGTTTCCGCCTTTGGTTTAACCTCATCAGCAGAAGGGCAGAGATTACCATCAGCCAAGTGCCACTGTGTGAGTTCACCCAATTCCCTACGCTCATTCTCAGTTTTTGACTTCACACGCCAAGAACCATCAGGCTTCACTTCAATTTCAGTCACATCCTCATCACAATGTCTCATCTGTAGTGCGTATAGACCAAGGAGGTTCTCAATGTACAGTATTAAAAATATCAGATAACCAAAATCCAAGAACTATATGGAATTTACCTTGGACGTGACACGGTTAAAATAAGGATCCATGATTATATGCTCCAGCGAGTAGTTCTTCAGGCAAATTGGGCACTGCCACTATCGTTATGCAAACAAGAGAACAATAGATTCAAGAAAATATCAGGGAGATATGACGGTTATCTAGATTACATTAAGAGATCTACCTTTCTGGAACGTTGATTCAGCTCCACAAACACCTCGAGGTCAAAACAGCCCATGTGTGCACAGGGTTTAAATCTCCCAGCAACTTTTATCCTGGAACCGCTCATCTAATTACAGGCAGAACAGAAAAGATGAACACAAATCAGTCACCAAAATATGGAACCAAATACACAAGATTAACCATTAGATAGTCCAAAGAGAGATACAGAACAATATGATAAACCTACAATAACTACAGATGTAATTGTGAGTATAAAACCCAAGCTACAAGCTACTGAGAGGTCTTACAGGACAACGCAGATTAATAGTGAAGAAATCTGCAACGACTTCAATGTCACTATCACTGTCGGCATTATCACCTCCAGTTCCACCTCCAACACATCGGCATACACGGGCAAGAGCCTCCTCGAAAGGCTCACCTTTAGCCTCCTCTGGAATCATATTTAGGACCTGGAATCAAATAACAGTAAAAATAAAGGAACTCGGAGAGACAATAATATTTAGTTCCTGCCAAGAATTGAAGCACAAAGAACCTCACAATAAACATCACTTCTCTAGCAATAGCCAAAAATATAGTTGACACAAAAAAAGAAAAAAAAAAAAGAAAACAATATTCTGCCACAAACTTACATTAAGAAAACAACAGTATTCTAAACGCTCAAGTTTTCATCCATGGATTACAAATGACTAAGTTCCATTCCTCACTTAAGGTCAAAGAAAAAAGTGTGCCACACACAAGCTGAGACCCTATAACTTGAAATCCGATACAGATTTCCGCATAACAATTTTCACATAAACTGGGAGAAAACAGAAATAACAAGATAAACCATCGGGCATGCTCATACACTAAATTAACACCAGGCCTCCGATAGATTAGAATTACTTGCGATACCAATTTTGAGTATTTTTATACACACTGTCAGGTTCCATTTGCAAATGCATGTACTTACTGCACCAGTGAACACCTTTGAACATTTTCCAAGTGGCATCTGATCAGTAAATAGAAGTACCTGCTGAAGAGTTATTCGCTTCACAAGCCTAACCCCAAAGCAAAAAACACGAGCATCGCATCCATTCAAGGATATCTTGTTAATACCATCCCTGATACAAGGTGTGATCTGCCAAAACAAGGAACAGGAGATGTGGACATACAGCATCATTAATTACATGTGTTTGATATAAGTGGCACATGAGAAACAAAACAAGAACAAAAGACCATAACCGCAAAGAGATGAAATACGTACAATTTGTCCATCATCACGGCCATTGGCTCCTAGAAGCTGTGACCCAGGTCGGTTAATAGCACGGACAGGTATACCTACAAAAGGATAACAATTTACCATGATTCCCACATCAGATAACATGTTATGAATCTTATTCAGTAAGATCGTGATTTACACTAACAAGAAAATTTAGATATTCTATAGAAAGTAGCATGAAAAGAACAAAACCCAAAGACTTTTCAATGCCTAAACAAACTAACGAGTTTATAACTATATTTAAGGAATGCATGATCCCACAGTTCTTAGTAAATCTTAATAAACACTGAGATTAAAACTTTACAGATCAAGTATAATTGCAGAGGATGTGACCGGCATACCGTTGACCTGCAGATCAGCATACTGAGGCCACTGCATCCTGAACTGAACTTTGTCATTCAAAAGCATACACCATGCCTGGAAAGAATAACATGGACTGCCGGTTAAAAATATACAAGTAGACGATAAAGTCAACTGCTTACCTAGTTAAGATCACCAACCTGAACATCATACTCTTGTTTCGCCACCAAGTCCTTGTCCGCCCTTGTGATTTGGAACGTTCTCTCCAGACTCTGCATTGGGTTTGTACTGCAACGTTTTAAACAGGAGTATTAAAACAAAGCAAAATCTGTCGTAATGTTTCTTACAGACAAATTGCACATCTACCCCAGGAAACGATAATTGTCAATACTCAAGACAATTGAACAAATGCTTCCATAATTCTGAGCTTGAAAGGCCACAAAACAATTAGGAAGAAGGAAGGCAGTCCACTTAACCCTCAATGTTCCGCAAGCAGTAGCCATACTTGACACTTTAGTCTACCATTCTTCTGACAAATTCTCATAATAAAAAGTCTTCCCATCACTAACAACTAACTCGTATAATGCCAATGATCCATCACTGAACTCATCATTGATAAAAGAACTGTGAAAGGAATAGCATTATTTAAGATGCAAAATGAAACAGGCAGCTGAAAATTGAAATATCATTCACACCAGTCCATTAAAGTGCTTTGGCTTTCCAAACAAAAAGTCTTAAAACATTTATAATTTTGAATGAGAGCATTGCCAGGAATAAATGCACAAAAAATAATTTCCAATTATTCAATATCACAGTAGCACATCAAGTACGATATACTCACCCATCAGTTTGGATAGTTGTAGTAGTCAACTTTACCGGAAAAAGCGGATGCGCCACAGTGACCCAAAATCTGCAGAGAAAACACCATGGAGCATATCCATGAAAAGCTTCACAATTATAGGTATAATTAAGAGGTAAATCTAAAGAAACCGAGTGGATCTAATGACAAAAAACAAAACTAGCATTCAAATACACAGTTCTGGAAGACAGAAGAAAAAGAATCTGGAATGAAGCGCATATCCAATTAATTCTTTCTCTTCTTGAATTCTCTTAGGGGTGATTTATGGTGTGAGAGGATGAACGATATAATATAAACTATTAACCTAAAACTCAAAGTAAAGTAGGGAAACTATAGAGATACTCACGGGTCAGCACGGGTAAGTCTGCAGACTTCACAGTAAAATGAGTCAGGAAGAGATGGATTTCCATCCATCGGCTTCTCAGGGATAATAACACAGCCAACATGCTCCCAGATGTGACATCTGCGGTCCTCACACTGAAGTTACCAAATGAAAATTTAAACCAGTAGGGGTGACAAAAAAAAATCTATCCATACATTTTAACAAGCTTTCATCACACAATTAGCCACAATAAATCACAAGTGGCTTAACTGAGAAGATAAACAAGATTTGAAACAGAGAGCTACTCTAATTACCTGTACCATTGAGTCGGTATCTAGAGAATTTCCACAAATACACCGAACTTTAATATCAGATTGAAAGGGATCTTCAACTTCCCCCTTAACTTTCACATTACTGGCATCTGAGCCAACTTGTCCTTTTGATGCTAGATCACTTGCCCCAGATACTTGCATTTTCCTGTGAAGCACATAATAAATTGTGATACCAAAGAGAGTTGGATCACTAGTAACACTCACAAAGAGAATACTTGGCAGTTTAATAAACTGTAGCACAAACAACCACACACCTATAGGTATCATCGACTAGTTGTGCAACCTCATCCCTAGCCACCACATTCTTCTTAGACCATAACCTGGCAGCTGTCAATAGGCAAGAAGGACAGAAGCTTATCAGCCATGCATAGAGCTAGCACTGTTGAGTTTTACCTAATTTCTCTACAGGCATTAATAAAAAATTTCATTTACCTTCTTCATCTGAAAGCATGGCCAAAATCCGGTCAACAAGGTCCTGCACACAGATTTCCGAAAGATCAATTTGGGAACTGAAAATTTTATTGCAGCCTATAAAAATCGTGAAAATTTCCTGCTAACTAAGCTGAGAAATCTGTAAAGCGGAAACTTTGCAGAAAGTTCTAGCCTGTTTCTTTCCCTGTTTTGAGAGTCCAAGCTGAGTGAGCACATCCTTCAGCTCTTTTATCCGGAAATATGCAAGTTTATCCTGCAAAGATATCAGGATAAACTTTGAGGTAGACCGCAGTGACTGACATGGAGGCGAAACAAAACCCACTACTGCTACCTGGTCAAGACTAGCTTTTTACACCTAAAATGAACTAGAGACCGGACAATGAATGGGCATTAACAAAGAAACTCTTTTTTAAACCTTTGCACTTTGCACAATACATCATCATCAAATGATTACCAGATACTTTCATCCAACCCAGTAAAAGAACTCGTGTCCGAACAAATTTCACACCTACAAGCACAAAATCTCCAGGGAATACCTTGCAGCTAGTTATCAAATCCATATCTTAACCCTCAACAACGAGAAACACGAGCTCAGTTCAAAATAAGCAGCCGCAAACTCGAACAATCACTGATAGAGCCGACAAATTCACAGCATACAGTCTCCGTACAGCAGCCGACCTAAACAACGAGAAAAACAAGCAAAGTGACGATCATCCATACGATAATTTGATCACCGTTAATGAACATACCCAGCTCTTGTGGAAGGAAAAAAAAAGAGTAACCCAACCAAATAAAATCCGCCAAATGGAACAGAAATACAAACCCAGGGATCGGACACTGCACATCAAAACATCCGAACACCAATTTGATCAGAGAAAAATCGATGAATTAGGGTTCCTCCAAAAGACGCCAACAAGATTGTTCTGTTGCCTCTAGGATTGGGAATCCGAAGGGACACCGACCAGACGGAAGTATCGATCTTCTACGACGGGAAAACAAAAGAAGGGTAATCGGACCTGTCGCCGACATTCAAATCCGGTTCACTAACGGCAATACGTCCGGGTTAAGTTCCAGTGCGCTCACGTGCATAACTCTACAGCACACCACACGGTCCACACCTACCTTTATTAGACGACTTTTTTTCACCGTGTTTGGTATAATTTACAGTGTGGCAGCCGTACACATACGGTATCTTCTGGTGTGTTCAGATCTCGCCACGTCAGGATCCGAAGCGAATCCTACGGACGATTTCAACCGTTGGATCATCGGGGTCGGTTTATAAAATTGCAAACGTTTGAAGTTTCCATGTAAGCCCGTTTGTTTTGCCTTCTCACCAAATGAACCCCAATTTTCGTAAGTTACAATTGCATACCACACCTCTTTCATTAAGTAAAAATCCTATATAATTATATTATTAGGTGTTTATAGAACATGAGAACCTCTAATTAGATGGAATCGAATGAACAAATTCATTTTTTTACAGAGCAGCATTTATCAATGAAATGAATCTGAATTTATATATAAAAAATACTTGATTTCTTCTTAATTAGTTGATGATCCTCCCTATCACATTCAGTAATTACTCCCATGAAGCGCATATATTTCTCTAAATACTATACAGATATTCACTATATATAATTGTTCTTGTCACCTTTAGTTTACTGTTTTTTTTTTTTGTAATACTTGATTAATTTCCAACGTGTTGCATGGATTCTTCTTTCCGTGTATATATTAGTAAAGGGAGCCTGCATCTCTTTTTTTTTTTTTTTTTGTAGCAGTGATATTTGGATACGGATATGCTATTGGTAAGTCACGTGAAAATCGTGTAAAAGTCTTACGTTTCTGTTTCATTTGCTCCAATACATTCAGAGGATATGGTAAAAAAACGGTATGATCGTGGTCCCATGGAAAGAAACTTTCGCTCTCGGTCTCAAACGGACCGAGTGTGGGACCGACCCAAACCGAACCCACACTCGGTCCGAGGATTTTGGATTCGGACCGATTCGAATTTTTCGAATCTATAGAATCAAACCCGAAATTCAATTCTATAGGATTTAGGTTCGGGTTTCAGATAGATAAATATATATTCTAAATTAAATCGTTGATCTCTAACTTTGAGATTAGTGTATATTTTGGTTCAAAATATTCGGTTATAAAAAAAAAACGAGTGTAATAGAGAAAAAGTCCCTCCCGCCCTCTTTTTCGCTGCTTTTTTATCACCAAAAAAAAAGCGAAGAGAGAAGAAAAGAATCAAAACCCGAGTTGTTGGCATACACATATTCACACGTAATCTCCCATTAGTTATTGTCCCTTTTACTAATAAGGGCTATCCCTTGATAGTCTCTCACTTAAATAGCCCTTTTCTTTTATGACTATAATAAATGCATTGTCTTGGAGAGGGAGAGGGACAGGACAAAACAGCCTATACCCTGTAATAATTTCATATTATATATATAATATATATATAGAAAAGAGAGTACAATACACCATATACTATATTCCCCTTGCCGGATTCAGGATCCTGTTCCAAGATCTCCCCTTTCTTCCTTTTCAACGAGACCCAACAAGTTTTTATCCCACTTCACTGCTTGATCTGATCCTTTCTCTCCAAATCAAAGGGAGAAGAAATGCTAACCACGACTCTGAGTGGGAGCTATGGGTTTCCTCTCTGCCTCTACGGGATCACACAGCACTTGGCTCTCTCCAGAGAGTAATTATGTTTTTTTTTGTGTTCCTTGTTTGCCGCCCTTTTTGTTTGCTCTCCTCAGTGTCTCTGATCCTTCTCTGTTTGTTTCTTCCCCTTTTTTTTGTGTTTTATTGAAGGATGACTGAGCATGGCGAGAGAAGGAAAGAGATGACGACGACGATGATGATGAAGAAGAAGAAGAGAAGGAGATCATCAGAGGGCGAGAATGAGTCAACGCATGCAAATCAAGAGATAGAGAGCGAGAGATGGCTTCAAGAAGGGCAAGAGGCGAAAGATGTCGTTCTTTTGCTACAAGATCTGGGATGGTGCTCCTTTTCTCACATAGCCAAAGCCGCTTAAGTAAGCGTTTCTTCCTTTGACCCAGCTGGGGTCATGTCCTAAGCTACCGCTGTTCAAAATTCACCTGTCTTTAGCTGATTTTGGTGGGTTACATTGAAAACCAGGAGAGAGATTCAGAATTCCAGATCTTAAGCATCGTAACTCTGCTTTTGGTATATTTAATGTAAATACTCTTTTTTTTTTATTTATTTTTTGTTATAACCTCTGTAATCAGTGCCACGATGGTGTGATGCATCTTTATCCTTTCTTGTTTGTTTAGTATTCGAACCCTTTCAAGTAAATACGAGTTTTGTCCAAATTTACCGAAAACCAAATTTCAGGGTAAAAGCAGCATTCAGAAGAAAAAAAAAAAAAAAAGGCATTAAATGATTTAGGTGGTGGGATATTCAATGCGGCCCGGTTCGTCCCCACTTTGCCCAAAACCGATAACCAGAAGCACAACCAAACCCAAAGGTGTTTTTGGTCGACCAACGAAATACGATATTAGAGTGCTAATAAATAATCATTCGACAGCGCAGATAATTTAAGGTCGCGGAGAAAAATATTTAATTTATAGAAAGTTATCGTTCCAACAATTTAGAAAACTCGAAAATACTAAATTTCGGTAAAAATAATACTAAATATTCGGCGAGAATATAGGAATTTTGAAATTTTGGGAATATTTAGGACTGTCAAATCAAATGTCTAAGTAACTAACATAAGCTATAAAAATAAATAAATTAGTGCATAGTATAATGGCAAATAGGCCCTTGTTGGGCCAGCCCGTACAAAACTGGACTGACCCGTTTCGCATCCCTTTATCTGCCTGATATCTTAACGTCGTTAGATTTAACGTCATCGACTCGGCACGTTTGTGGTGTCTCGAGCCACTCTCCGTCACCGTTCTGTTTACTAAAGCCCTAGTTTAGTCTCCCGTCTCTCTACTTTCCCTCGCTGACTGTATTCACCCCAAACTCCGGCGGCTGAGACGACGTCGACGGCGGCGAGTGATCAGAGCTGAAAATTTGCGGCGGATTGAAGAGCGATAATGGCTGGAGATAGAAACGGAATTAGTCGACAAAGGCCGAACATACTGATCACCGGAACGCCTGGGACCGGTAAATCGACGGTGGCTTCTGCGTTGGCCGAGGCCACGAATCTCCGACATATATGCATCGGAGATTTGGTCAAAGAGAAGAATTTACATGATGGATGGGACGATGAGCTCGAGTGTCACATCATCAACGAAGATTTGGTGAGTTTCGAAATTGGGATAAATCACTAAAACCCTAAATTTTAGCGGCGTTACTGCGCATACGTTCATTCATTTTTCCTTCATTTTCGAATTTAATGGACAGCCTTTCGAATCCTCGTAGAATTTGTGCCTAGTAGTTCGTAGCAATAAGTTGGTTGTTCATATAGTCTGGGAGTTGTTTCCAAATTCTTTCCATAGAAAAAAAATTACACTTTTGAGCAGGAAACGATCGGTTTTATTTCAACTGTATGGCTGAATTGTTAATCGTGGGGCTGAGCTGTTTGTGAGAGCTTAGAATTTCAGGATAATAATGTTCATGGTGTTTCAATTGTTTTGTTGACGCTTTATGAGCTACAGAGATAAAAAATGCTAGTACCGCAGCCATGATCAGGAAAAAAATAGAGGATTTTAATCGATAACATGAACACAATTCTTTCTAAATTCTCGTATGGGTTTCCAAATTGCATCGAAATGGTTGCTTTTCCATGAACCATGTGATTTCCAATAGAGAATATATGGATTTCCAGTAATCCTTCCCTGCACAAAGGAAGAGTTCTCCTTCTCTCCAATCTTGAGTTACTTGTTCGGTCTCATTATAAGCGACAAGTTATTATTACTAACTTGATCAGGTGTGCGATGAGCTTGAGGATGTGATGGAAGGAGGAGGGAACATTGTGGACTACCATGGATGCGACTTCTTTCCAGAGCGTTGGTTTGACCGGGTCGTCGTGCTTCAAACAGAGAACTCCGTCTTGTACGACCGATTAACTAGGAGGTGAGTGAGAATCAGATACTTGCTTTGTCGAAAACCCTTGTGAGCCCTCTTTTGATGTCACCTCACAAGTTTCGTCTGAAATTTAGCAGAGGTTATTCAGGAGCCAAGCTTACAAACAACATCGAATGTGAGATCTTCCAAGTCCTACTAGACGAAGCAAGGGAGAGTTATCGAGAAGACATTGTTGTGGCGCTACAAAGTAACACGATCGAGGATATCTCTAATAATGTCGCGAGTTTGATGGATTGGATTAGAACCAGGTGACCTTGATTATCTTGGATAACTACGGTTTATGGCGTAATTTATTTACCTTTTATGAGTTTTTACTGGAGGGTTTTGAGTGGGAAGCTTGTAAAGCTCCCACCTTTTTTACGTGTATTGTACTTCTGAATCTGATACAATATAAAAAGTTGTATTTTGTCCTCTATCCCATGATTCTTCTAGTAAAGTTTCCAATTTGTGAGTTTATAATCGTTCGCTTAGCGGTTTTGAATTCCATTTTTAGGTGTGTAGCCGAGTACTTCTGTCTGGGAACTAAACACACAGTAAGAGAGATGAAGTGTGAATTCTACAAAGAAACATAACCACAAGTTTCAGGATCCTTTTTTATATGAAGTGACTATGAGTATGAGTAAAACATGGCCACTGGTAGCAGTACCTTCTCACCACATCAACTATACAAAACATTTCTCTATCAAGCAAATCAACTGTGTTATAGAAACAAAGACAGATAACTAAACTCAAGAGACAAGAAGATCTGTTTAACCATTTGGATGTCTGCAGGAGAGGATACAATGCTGTTACCCGGTTGATAAGCTCTGAGGCTTTTCTGATTCTGTAGTGTGATTCAGACTGCTCATTGACTCCAGTCTCTGTCCCTGCAAATGATTGACTGAAAGCGAAACATGAGATGAGTTGTTGGCCGAGGAAGGAGAGATCGAGAGAGCTGACAAACTCCACGAAGCGGAAGAGGCTAAGAGGGAGGCTGCATCAACAACCACCGGAGCAAAAGCACCGATTCCTGGTGTGTATGGTGAGAAATCCGGCAGTGGTAGGTTTCTGTTTAGGTACTGCACCACTTGTTCCATGGTGGGTCTCATTTCTGGCACAATGCTTGAACAGAGCAACCCTAGTTTCAGAACCATCTCCACTTCCTCTGGTGAGAATTCCTCTCCTAATCTCGGATCTTTACAATCAAGTAACGATGCCCTTTTCCAGCATTCACAAACCCATTTGACCAGCTGTTGTTTCTCAGGCTGCATCTCAGGTTCCACGGGCCTCCTCCCACAGGTTACTTCCAGCATGAAAACACCAAAGGCATACACATCGGTCCTAGTTGAAGCTCCCATTGTTATTAGCTCTGGTGCCATGTATCCTACAGTTCCAACAGCGGCTGTTGTGGCTGCATTGCTTCCATGGTCATGAAACCTGGCCATGCCGAAATCCCCTAACCTTCCATTGAACTCTGAGTCCAACATAACATTAGATGCTTTGATATCTCTGTGTAGAACAACTTGGTCAGCTTCTATGTGCAGGTAATTGAGGGCAGAGGCTATACCCTTGAGAATCACAACTCTTTGTGACCAAGAAATAACCGGCTTTCGGTCATCAAACAAGTGCGCATCAAGACTACCATTGGGCATGAATTCAGACACAAGAAAAAACTCACCTTTTCTCCTCGAATACCCAAAAAATGGAACCAGATTCCTGTGCTTTAGGCTTTTCATGCTCACAATCTCAGCCACAAACTGCTTCATACCTTCCTCGCCATTATGGCACACTCTCTTCACCGCTACTTCTCTGCTGAGAGGGAGAGTTCCTCTGTATACTTCTCCAAAACCTCCTCTTCCTAGAAATCCATCCTTGCCGAACCCTTTTGTTGCTTTATATAGAGATTTGTAAGAGAACCTGTGTGCACCAAACTCTTTTTCCCAATCTTCACTAACTTCTGCATATTTTCTTCTCCTGTAGAAAAGAGCTCCTCCAAGAGCAGACAACGCCATGATAGCCAGCAGAACGAGCAGAACCACAAGCGGAAGAGACGGTTTCTTATGTTCAGCTTTCGGACGAGGAACTCGAGGAAGCTTTGAGATGTCTATCTCCTGCAATGACTCCCTGCTTCTGCTGAAACTCCACCCGAGAACATATTGGTAACTGATCGATGTCCCTGTAGATGCAGAGAATCCGACAAACATTCTTCTGCTGGATAAAATGTCCGAAAGATTAATGGATGCTGCTGAAATAAGAGGCCGGCTTGGCTTCTGAACATGAAGAGGGGCCAGAGAAACATTCAGGACAGCTCCTTCGTAATCCACCCAGACCTGCAGAGCGTTTCTGCTCAAAAGCTTTATGCTTTTATTCTTCCCTTCGACGTCGGAGAAGTAAGAAGCACGAGCATAAGCAACTGACATAAGGCTGTTCACATCAATTCCGACATGGTTATTATCGATATCATCAAACTCAGGACTGAAAACGGTGTCGAGCTCAACAGCAAACAGATGAGAAGATGACGGTCCATTCGTCGTGACATTGAAAAGCCCCAAGTACCGAGTCGGTTCCGCGTGTGTGAGATCTGAGGAAGAAGATACAACAAAGGCGAGGCCATGGCCGCCATCAACTCCAGGCTTAGGTACCAAAGCGCACACAAAATGAGTCGAGAAAGAGAGTGGCTCAGATGGGTCCAACACAAATGGCGGCTTGAAGAAAGCATGGCCCATTTGATGCTGAGAAGCGTTGGTTAGCTGAAGAAGACCATTTCGGAGAATTCTCGCAGACCCATCAAGAGAAAGATCTGATTGGTCAAAGCCATGGAAGACAAACCCTGTTTTCTGCTGATTTGATAAACATATCAGGTGAAGACAGGAGATCACCGAGATCAGAAGCAAGACATGACCCATCGTAGGGTTGAATCAGAGAGCCTGCGTTCTCTATGCACATATCAAATCCTACATATTTAAGAACGCAACCTTTCCAGCTGTAAGAAAAGGAACAAAAGCATCATTTGCCCACCTTTTCCCAAGAGGAATCAATCCAGAAAAACTGCAGCTTTTTGGCCTTTTCACAAAGTGTGTGATGCTATTTATAAACTATCGTTCGCGTTTTGCATAGCATTTAAATATTTTAATTTTAAATTCTAATTCATTAGATACTTTAACAGAACTTGTCTCTGACCAGATTCGTGTAAGTTCAGTCAAATTATCTTTTACATATACCCATTTGTCTTGGGTCAGACATTCCAACTGTCCCCTCTTTAAGGCCATCTCCGGTGAAAAACTGAAACCACAAAGAATCTTACAGAACCAAAGTGGTCGATGAAAGCTACGTAATTTGAATCTGAGAATACAAGCCAGAAAGTTCGTGATTTTTACTTCATTTGGGGAGGAAACCGGCGTTTCTCTCGCTGGGGAGAGGTATTTTCACGGCCAAGTCTGCGAGTTTTACTTTTTTTTATTCACAATAGTTGCAACTAATGCTAGCAAAATCAAAGTCTGTGAGAGATTACAATCTTTGATTGGGATACATTGCTATTTCGAGGAAAGTATGGGATTTGTAGCCTTTTTTCTGATTGATTTCGGGGAAAGTTTTCTATTTTTCTTCATGGGTAAACATTGGTTCTCAGGAATTCCTCCTCCGAATTTAGCATATGGGTTCTAACGAGCCTATGGTTAGAGATTGCGTATAACCTGTTCGACGTAATGTCTGTATGAGCTCTTGTTACCAAATGCAAGATGATGAATTGGTGGTGATGCATCAATAGTTTGTAGAAACGAAAGACGTTTCGATGCGACTATGCGGTTTTTTATTTGTTATCAAATTCAAAGGATTGATCTTTTTATTGCTCTTTGCAGCTTGCAGCTACTCTTCCATGGCGCCAAGGTGGAAATGGAAAGGTGCAGAGCCAAAAGCTCTTGCAGAACCTATTTCCCAGACTATATCAGAGCTTCGATCCTCTCTGATTCAATCAAAGGCTTCCGGGTTCCTCTCGAGTTGCAACATCCTTCTCGCCGTGGAGCCTGAACGGGCAGAGCTGCTCGATCATGGCTGCTTCGGCAGACCCATTGTTTCAGCTGATAAAGAGAAGAGATGGTTTCAGTTAAGCCTTGAGGAAGCTTTCTTCCTGTTCTACAACCTGAAGTGCATCAAGATCTCCATTCAAGATCGTTTCTTGGAGAACGAAACAGAAGTTTGGCGAATCATGGAATCCAAAAAACCAAACTTTCCGATCTATTACAAAGCGTATTCTCACCTACGGTCCAAGAACTGGATTGTGAGATCCGGGCTGCAATACGGTGTGGATTTCGTCGCTTACCGTCACCATCCATCTCTGGTTCATTCTGAGTACGCAGTCTTGGTTCAGTCCGGCGATGGCGATGGCAATGGCGGAAACTTCCGGTTAAGGGTCTGGTCCGATATCCATTCCGCTGTTCGGTTATGTGGAAGTGTAGCGAAAACCTTGTTGGTTCTGTACGTCAGTGGGGACGGTAAAGGCGAAGACTTGTCGTCATGTTTGGAGAATTATACTGTGGAGGAACAAACCATAACCAGATGGAGCCCGGAACAGAGCCGTGAAAATGAAACTTCGAACCAGAACCGAGCAATGCAAGAACAATGAAAACCATTTACTGTATACATGTTTTCCCCATGAAGTTGTAGTTTTTTAGCAGAATTATCTTTTATATGGGTTTGCTTATTGTTATACTAATAGAAAGAAATAAAAATTAAACTTTGCTATTAATTTTAATTATCATTATTAGTTTCATCGTAATGTGTAGCCCTCCTATGGCGTTGATTACAAGGCAACATAACGTGTTCACTTTTAGCCTTGGAAACACTGAAAGTTACAAGATTTATGCAAGCGCATGAACTAATACATGTATATTCTATGCATTCATTTTCTAACCTCAACAGAGATTATCTGCAAAAAAAAAAACGAAATTTAATTGTAATTTACTGTTTTTATTATCTTACAAACCATATAAGTAGGTTCCTATAAAAAAAAAACATAAACAACCATTTGTCCAAATCTCCTAAAACCCACCAATAATTTTTTTTTGAAAAAACTTACAAACAAAAAGCCAAAAACACAAACTTTTACATCTCAAAGCTTCAACCTTTCTTCATCATAAAAAGTTTTCAATCTTTTCTGCCTAAGCTTCATCACACGTCATCAAAGCTGGAAATGGCTAGGGTGTGATTTAGTCATCCTGGCCTCACCGGCCGGCTCATCATTATCAATCCTCTTGACATTCCGATAAGCAGCATAGGCGATCACGTAGAAGATCACGAGAATGATCAGAACCACGATGTTGATAACCGATACCTTTCGCCAGCTCTTCTTCAGGCTGCCCAAAATGCCGGCTTTGCAAGAGCTGCATTGGTAGCACAGAAACGTCTGGTCGTTGTTCCATGCCGTGCAGTCGGGGTTTGCCCCGACAAGCCCTCCTCCTGGAGTCCACACCGTCTCGTTCACATAAGCGTATCCACACTCTGTCGGTGGTTTGCAACATCCCGACTGCAGAGATAGCAACAAATACATATCATGTTCCTCGATCAATCGGACGATATCACACATACGCAATGATCTAAAATGGCTAAAGACCCTGTGAAGATTTATACATTAGACGGCAAAAGCTTGAATGCCCATCACCAGAAACAGATATAATCATGTTCAAGCTAAATCAGATGATGATACCATACATATGCAATTACCTAAATGGCTAAAGACCATGTAAAGATTGATATATTAGATAGTAGAAGCTTGAATTATGCGTGCATGCCCATCACAGAAAGGAAGCTGTACAATAGGCCAAAACAGGGATCATGTACAAGTTGAGAAGACCATGGCATAGCCAACAGGTCAGATGATACCATACATATGCAATGATCTAAACAGCTAAAGACCATGTAAAGATTTATGTATTAGATGGTAAAAGCTTGAATTATGGGTGCATACCCATCACAAAAAGAAGGTATTTTGCTCAATAGGCCAAAACAGAGATCATGTACAAGTTGAAAACAGAGATTTCTCAGAACACGAGAATGTCATAAGAGAGAAAGCAAACAGAGATTCTCCACCAGAACATAACACATGTCGTGTTCATGCTTTCCAACACTACCAACTTCAAATTAGGATATCAACAACTACTTCTTTCGGGATCTTCTTTTCGCCTATCCAAAATCATCAAGATTTACTCCCACGTAAGAGTACGATGCAATAATCTCTTTATTTAAACAGACTTCACACATAGATAAAGGAACACGACATCAGTTGAGTCACATGCTCAAGCGGCTCCATTCACGTTCCCAATAAAGTCGCTTATTTTTCCAAAAAGCAATCAAGAGCTGAAAAACAATCGTATTAAAAGAACTATCGGATATATATATTTATCATTCAATAATGTAGACTATCGTCATATGGATGGTGCCCTAAAAAAAATAAGACAGAGAAAGAATCCAGATTTCTCTGGAATTACAGAACCTGAATATCCAAGTATCCCAACGATCAAACCCGCAAAAAATACTACATTTTCTTGAACAGTTTCTATTTATTTTCGCCATCAGATCTCAGCAAAACTGGAAAACACTATCTTTTTAGTTTTCACCGCCTAGAAATTTCTATGCAAACAGAGCAGAGCACCAAAATGCAAGTTGATACCAATTTATCAACCCAGAACTGAGAAAATAATTTGAAAATTAGTAAATAGAGACTCTCTTTCTTTCTTTCTTTTATTTTTTTTAAACGAAAATCAAGTTTACTAATTTAGTAAGGTGTACAGGAGAGCAGGTACCTCGATAGGGTTTAGCCTTCTGAGGAAGAACATATCAGCAGTTTCAGGGATGCCATTGAAGCTCCTTCCGATCTTCCTACAAGCACCAGAATCCCTAATACACGAGCTAATCTTCGCCCAGTACCCATCATCGGCGACCCGATCCTTCAACCAACCCGAGTAATCCTCCAAATAGTAATCCAAATACGCCCGATTCAACACGACGCGACCCGTTCCCTTGTCGGTAACGGCATAAGCGAAGATGATGAAGCCGATTAGGGCAGCGATGACGAAGATCATGACGAAGAGGTAAAGCCGCATGAGGAACTTGTTCCGGTAACAGGATCCGGCGAATCCGGCGAGGGAGACGACCATGATGGAGATCCCGATGACGATGAGCGGCCATTGGAGGAATCTCAAGCAGTCGGTGGTGTTGGCTCTGCTGCTAAGCCAGATTCCACCGCCGAGGATCGGGATGGAGAGGAGGAAGGTGAGGAAGTTCACTAGACCTATCAGATGATTGCTCGTTCTCATGGCGCGTTTTTTTTTTTTTTGGAGAGCAGAGAAAAAATTTCGATTTTTTTGTGTGTTCTGTTTCTGCTTTGCACTGTCAACGGAGAGGGAGGGTGGAGAGTTGCATGATAGTGTGTGTATATATATATATGTGTACGTACATGTGGCGCGTGAGTTTTTGAATTCTACGCGCTTATCTGGAGTGCCACGTGTCAGCTTACAATGGAACAGACATTTCAAATTTGTATAACAAACTAAATACATAATAATGTCTTTTTTATAAAGTTCTTTCATGAAGAAAAAGCTGTCGAAAACTAAAATCAGAAAGAGATTTAGGGAATTTATAAATATAAATTATAATATAATAGTCATATATATATATATATACGTAGTAACGTGTTTTATAATAAATCGGGCGATAGTACAAGGAATCGATTTCATTTCAATATATATATATATAATCATCGGTAGAAAAATACACAGAAAGGCTCCACTCCGAGAAATGGCTCGAGCATGGGAACATGCGCTTCTAATAAATGCTTCGTAGAAGAAATAAAGATAAATAAATGTATAAGCAAAAACCCTTTTTTTAATCTCTCAAAATAAAATAATATATGCATACCATAAGATCTTCGGATGGACCCACCGGTTCAGTCGGTAATAAAGCTGGCCTTGCATGATAAGATATAAGATTTCACTCCCTAAGTATAACATTTTGTAAAATTGAGTTATTTCGAATGATATTTTCCTATAGAATTATAATAATTAAGAAGTTTACCGAAAAACAAATGTATGATAAGATTTCACTTCCTAAGTATGCTGTTTTACCGGTCACACAATACAAGTCCAAGTAGCATGAAGAAATCGGTTGGTTTGACTAAACCGATGGAATTCAATTTCAAAGGCGAGTCCCGGTTAACCATTAAACCGGGAATTCCCCAAGTTTAGCATCAATGGGGATGGCTCTACCTCGTCTCTTTCTCGGCCATAAACCTTGTGATGAGCACAAGTACCTCTTCTCTCAAATGAGTAACCAAACCCGGTACGATCTCCTTCACATCAGATAACCAAAGTTCATCCCGGTTTTTCGTTCCTGCGGTCTCGAACCACTGGCAAATAATCCGAGCCACTGCAAGAACGAAGATTCCACAGTCGTACCCATTGCTCTGCTGAGGCGTCTCGGCGGAAAATTCTCGGAACATTGCATCCTCTCCGGACAAGAATGGTGCAACAACCTTGTAGAGCTGTCTCGCAAACTGTTTGTTCGAACCCCTGTTACTGTCGTGATGGAAAAACGTGTTGGCACCTCTGTAGAACACGAGGGAGCTCCAGTGAGTTCCACCTTCAGCTAAACCCACATGGGTGTTGTCGTTTACAGGGAAGATCACGAGATTCCTGTCGGGTAATTTGAGGGGTTCCAAGAACTCTTTGAGGGACTCTGTGTCGGGGCAGTTCGAGATCCAGAAGGAGACGGAGGGAGGGACGAGGAGAATGGCTGGTGAGGGATGGACGGTGGATAGGTAGCTCAGGTAGAACTCGATGATACGATCATTCAAGAAATGTGGGCCGCTCAGTATGTCAAGATCCGATCTTCTTAGGACAACGTCGTTGAAGCTGAGGATCTTCTCGTCGGGATTGGCCATCTTCATACACTGATGATTCTGCAATATACACAAATCAAAATGATGATCAGTGATGTTTCTTCCCCTTCTTTTCTGCATCAGCCAATCCAGAACGAAGAGATGCTGAGGGCGGCACAAATGAGAAACAGACATCTTGAGGAACATAAGAACGAAAGTCTACAAATTCAAAGGACCAGGGGACAACATCGTATAATACTAACACCAAAAGCATTTGAAACAGAGAGTATACGGTACAGTAAACCAGTAAGATAATAGGAACCTGAATCCAATTCGATCACACAATAGGGTTTCCAAACTTTTGGAACTCGGAGAGATTGAAAATCCCAGAAAAATATCTCAGAAATCTCAGACGGAAGAAAGCTCCAACCGAAAGGGAACCAGTGATCTACCTGCCTCAGAGCAAACCGTATAGAGAACAAAACCAATCTCTGATTAAACCCGTTGAAAAAAAAATTCAAGAATACTGCGAGGAATCTCCATAGAAGCTTCTGTTTCGAGGATCAGAAACAGAAACAGAAACAGAGACAAAAAGACCATCAGATAATATCGGTTCAATTTGGATAACCTTTTATCCGACACTTGTAGGGATCATCAGCCACACAATTCAAACTCACGCACGCCGAACAAGAAGGTATCCATCGTACTTCCGAAGAGCAAAAATGAAGTCTTTCAGAAATCTACGACCTAAGAAGCAAATGATTCAACGAACCCTTTTTTTTTTGTATGAGATCGAGATCAGAAGCCGATCCAACTCCGGGTAGAGTTAATACTACAAAACCCCAAATGCTCAAAAGTTTGTATCGAAGCATATGACTCCAACCGAAATCGAGAGCATAAACGAAAATCGAAACAAAAACAAAAATCAGATTCAAGAAAAAAAAATCGAACTTACGCAATCCCTTCAATGGAGGTTTTTTTTGGGGGGTAGAGAGAGAGAGAGAGAAGCCCACCTGAAGAAAAAGAATGGAGCTTTTGTTGATGCCGAGGTTTTTTACTTTTTAGCACTTTGAAGAAAGAGTACATTACAATATTACATAAGTGCCACACAGGACTAACTCAGGTTTGGATTCAAGTTTCCCTCGGTTTTGTCGGTTTTTTGCTCCATGCGGTTTGGAATTGAATTTTTTTTACTAATAACAATACGTATTTCTTAAAAAAAAAAAATAATTGCGGTTTATCAGTCTGAAAGGTTCAGTTTCAGAAAACTTGTAACTATAGGAATGTTATGTCTGACTCGTTTGGGACACTACAGTCAAGTGTTGGATGGATACAGCAACCAGAACAAACGCCATCACAGCTGGCATGAAGCCAACCAAACAAAAAGGCCAACGGAAAACTATTCCCCTCTCCTCTGCCCAAAACCACCAAAAGCTCAGAGCCTTGGCTTCAGCTCCTGCAAACAGACCATACAATAGGTAGATGAACAGAGCAAAATCATGCTTCTTCAACCCCGAATCAAAATATTATCCCAAGGCCCTTTTTTTATATTTACCTATGAATGAGAACTGGCTGGCTCTAGAGTATCATCATTGTGTTCTGGATGCCGTTCCTCTGTTGGAGATCTGACTTTGAACCGAACATCATTCAGTATGAATTTCCCTCCCTCCCATCCACCTTCCTCTGCAGCTTTTAGCGAAGTCAGCACCAACAATGGATACACTTTGATGGCGTCGCAAGACCCAGCCAATCAGAAATCACATTCCCACTTCCCCTTTATGTTCTGCTATACAGATGATCCCCAGAACTGGCCATCCGGAATTTCGACTCTTCGAAACCATTATATAGGCTTTTGCTACCGAATCCCAGCCGTTCGATATTCCTTCGTTGAATCTCTGCCATTCCTAGACTGTTTCCACCTGAGGAGGCTTCATTATTATTCCACCTATCCCACTGACCGCTATTGCCATGCAACAATGAATTCGGAAAAGGTTGTCTAGATAAGCTTGTTCCTTGTGTCTGATCCATTATCAGCCTCGACCCAATAATCCCATAAGGATCATTATTGAGTTGAGAAGAGAAGTTGTTAACATCCCTGAGGTCGCGATATTCATCATGGCTTTGTTGTTGTGCAGACAGAGACCTCTGCATCAACATCTCAAGTCTCGAATTGCTCTCAAAGGAATTTAATTGGGACGGGAAACTGTATCTCATATCTACCTCTGCACTTCCCAACCCATTTTGATGTCTTCCTCTTCCGACAGCTAAAATTGCCGGATCCATAAATTCAAGATCCCTCGCCAGGCTAGAATTTCCACCTGGATGCGGTGCCTGATATGTTTGTCTCAGCAAAGTGGTCGAGTCAAGCAATCGAGGAGTTCCTGCAGCATGTGTTAAAGAGGTTGTTAGCCCATTCTAGGTTCAAAGAATCAGTCAGCAACACTGTTATGTTACTAGAAGGAAGAGGGTACCAGCTGCTACAGTATCATAGGAATGCTCCATTCTTTCATGTGAAGAGAAGCCGGGAGGAGGTGATCTGCTGAGAGCAGAAAATCCTGGTGGAGCAGAAATTTGTGATCTTGAAGCTGCTGCAAAAGGGTCAAATGAATTTTTCTCACCAAAATAACAAAAACAAAAATAAGGGCAAGAAAGGTTGACAAAAAAAGCCATGTCACATGAATACTACTAACCAGGAATCTTGTAAGAAGAGTAGACGGGATGAGCAGGAGGAAAGTTTTCCGGCACTTCAGAATAATTTGAAGCATATCCATTCCGTTTATCCTGATAAATATCACCGGTCACCCCAGTCTCCAGAAGGGCAGGCTGATCTCTTGGCAATTGCCCATGAATGCCATAGGTCTGATTTTCAAATGCTTGATTATAATGTTGCGGATTTAGGAGATTAGATTCATCCTGCCGAGCAAAATAGAATCTGGACTGACTGTTGTGTTGCGGCTTTAGGATGTTCGAAGGCCTATGAGAGCTCACCCGCTGATCACCTTCACCGAGTAATGTTACCAAATTACGCGACGAAGTCACGGATTCATCCCATGGATCAAAATCGAGTGACAAAATGCTTGAGATTATATCATCCTCTGCATTCTGAATTTTCTTTTCGGCTTCATTACCAAACAACGAATGCTCCACAGTGGATATGGATCCCTCAGTTAATCCATTTGGTAGAAGTGATCTATTGCTACCTCTGCTTTCCAAGAAGGCATCAGCATTTGAAGTTAACACGCCAGAAACTTCACCGAATGGGGAAGCACAAAAAGGCAAACGGTTTGGACCTTGAACCGAACTTGTTGAAGGGCTTACAACCTCTCCAACCTTTTGTCGTCCGTTATCAAATGTTCTGACATCATCTACTTCTGATTTTGAGCTAACTTGCATCTGTGATCGCAAACCGGCCATCCAATTCCACTCTGGCCTTACAACAGATTTCTCATTGTATGAAGAGAAAGCTTTCTCATCAGTGTTCATAGGAGAATCTTTCCTACATTCCTCCCCATGTGGCAACTTCGATACTTCATTACCAGGTTGTCTAATAGAACCTTGATCAGAATGAATATCGATAACTGCCTGACTACCTGGATGGTCATTCCTAGAATCAGTAGTAATCCCCATCCGTGCAACATCAGTAGACAAGTTGTTTATACTAAGGCCATCATCAGCAATTTCTTTTGCATAATCTAAAGAATTCACAACAGCTGAAGGCTCATTCATGACTCTGCTATCATAGGAAGATTCTACTGAACAGGATATCTGATTGCTAGTAGGATCTCCATCAGGCAGATTAGCTCTCCTGGACCCAAAATCAACCACAATATTATGTGGCAAAGGCTTCAACAATCCAGGTTTGTTTTTTTCAACCACAGTTTGATTCTCTTCTTCGTGAGATGGTTTCTTAAGGTTATCACTACAGGATATAGGCTCATGAGCAGAAGAAGCCAATGTTCCATTTGATGTATCAGAATATCCATCTGATGCAATTGACGTTGCTGCAGACTGCTGATTTAATATACGTGTTCCCCTGAAACGGGATTTTCCTAATTGTCAAAATGAGCCCACCACGGAACATAACATAGACAGAAATCAACAAGTGACAAAGATAGCTTTACCATGATGCTGCAGCAGGAAGAGCAGTGGATCTACCAGAGCTCCCATTAGGTGGAGAACTCTTAGGAATACTTGCTACATTCTGCTCCGACAAATTTAAAACAAGAAATACTTGTTAATCTTAACTAGTGTCTGAGTCTATAAATTGTAATCATAGTACCAGAACATTAACAGAGAAAGTAAGCTGAAAACTTGGGGTATTCAGATTCTATATCTTGGGGTAATCAGATTCAGATCAACAAGTTTACAGTTCACACTTTACAGCAAAGGAAGCAGGCTCCCTAACTCGAGCGAAAAAAACCTTGACATATCAAGGGAAGCTGAAAACTTACAGAAATAGTGTTTGAAGGAACTTGCACAATTGGTTTTGCTGTAGAACTGTTGCTGCAATAATCATCCACTGGTGGAGGAAGCACGCTCCCTAACCGGCGCATCAGATTATTTGTTGCCCCGGTGATTTGTTGCACTCTGCTCCTTCAAAATTACTATGAGACTTAACTAAACCTCCAGAAAAACAAAATAAAACGCCCGATATACTATCTTTTTTCTCCAAATAATTGAAGCACAATTTACAACAAGCAAATCAGAGGTACATAAAAATATAAAACGGAAAATATACCTTGTATGGGCTGATACGAACTCATCTTTTGTGAAACTATCCTCTTGACAACCAATCTCATGTAAATAGAGACAATCAGGATTGTTGCAAGGCTGAAAATTGAGGATGTCTAATCGGTTCAATTTCAACTCAAAAAAGGAAAGAATAAAACAATTCTACAGATAAGAAGACGTCTACACTACATACCACATTTCTCAACCACGCATGGCAATACTTGGTTGTCCCAAAACAGGCCCTGTAGTATATAAAATACAGATGTAACCGAGGAGTGCATAAAGATAATTTAAATGCTTTCAAGAGAAGCGAACGCATGACTTACTTCAATGATTTACCGTCCAAAATAAACCCATGAACAGACTGAATACAGCGTACAGCCTCCTCTTCTTTTGAATAAGTGATATATCTGAGTACAGGAAACGATATAATATCAGAAAGGGACAATACTGCAAGATAAAGGAATCACAAGAAACCATTTCACCCTTAGAGGCAAATTTGGATAATCACACAAACATATACAGAAACTTACACACTGCATGTATTGTTTGGAAATTGTTGGATGACACCAGATGCCATCCGAGACATGGAGACCTTTAAAACCTTTCCATACTGACCAAAGTATTCTTTACTTTGCAGAAGCTGAAAAAAAATGGAAGATTTCAAGACACTGTCATCAAATAAGAAATAACTAAAATAATTTAATCAAGTAAGAAATAACCAAAATGATTTAAATAAACTTGGCCATACATCTTCATCTGCCAGATTAAGCGGCAACCCAACAATGTAAACAAGATTTCTTTGAATCACTCGCACGCTGGTTAGTTGCTTTCTCCCTTCAGAAGGTTTTGACTTTGACTTTTGTGTCTTTTTGCGCTCCATATTGGCTTCAGAGGCCAGTCTGGAAATAACAGATAGACAACAAACATCAGCAAAACAAAATGAAAAGGAAGAATAAACACTGATGAGAGACAAAAATTCATTCCACTGTAAAGATGGCGTGTTAAGCATCATATCACAACCTCTCACAATTTACAGTCATCCCGACAATCTTTTCCTTGTCATATGGAGTGCGACAAGCTGGACAGCGCCCTTCCGATTCATCTTTCTCTGCCATGTCCATTATGTGATGCCAACACCAAACACATATCTGTAAAATTTGGATATTAGACTATGAAAGAATCAATAGACAAAGAAAAGAGATCTTTGAGGCCATCTGAAGAAGTGTAAATTCTACTGACAAAGAGAGATACTGCATGTCAGTGCTAATAGACAAATATTCAAATCTAAACAATTACAAAACTTCAAGAGGAGCATTATAACATACTACGCGGCACAGTATAACATAACCTAACTGTTTACCCTGATTACGAAAACCAGGAATAAAGCCTCTAAAGAGTACTATGCGCAGAGTTCTCGCAACAATTATCAGTTATAAACAATTATCAGTTATAATTAGGCAGTAACATGTAAGCCACACTTAAGTGAAAACAAAAACAGATTGCAAGACCTGATAGCCACATCTGCAGGGCTTCAACTGCTGGTCAGTCTGATCCATCTCTTCAGCACACAGTGGACAAGTTTTCTCTCCTTGGTCACTCATGGTTGCCTGAACAAAACAAGAAATGAAAGGGAAGTCAATGAGATAAGAACACCAAAAAGACTTGGGCCAAAATGTGAGACCCCACTGTTAAAATTATAAGTAGGAAAAACAATTCAACATAGAAATCAGTAGTAATGCTAAACTACTTTGTTTTCATTACCATCCGTAACCCACACTCAAAATTTGGAGGTAACAATTACGAAAGAGAGAAAGGCTGACACTTTTGGTCGCAAAATTTAATCATCGTCATGAAACAGCACTAGTTGGTCTACATTCATCAAATTCTCGACCAAAAACCTAGTGTATCTGTTCACTCATCTCATCGACATCCCCCAAGCCAAAAGAAAAAAAACATACGAAAAACTCTGAATTTTACTCTACAAATTCAAAATTTCAGATCGATTCAGTAAGCAAATGGACAAAGACGCATAATGCATCCATGTTCAAGAACTCTTCGAAATCAATCCGTGCATGCGCCATCAAAACTCGAAGAAAATGCGTCAACGGACACAAAATCAAAAAATTGACAAGCAGAAAAAACACATCAAGAAGCAACAAACACAAGCAAGCAGACAAGTTCCACAATCTCCATCAGAATTCACGATCCGAATTGCCATCGGACGATCCCAAGAACACCACAACCAATAGAAAAGAAAGGAGCAAAAACTAGGGTTTTGGGATTATGCGGAATCGAATCAAACTTCGCGAAACGAGATTCACGATGGGATAAACATACGATTTGAGGGAAGATGATTGAGATTGCAAAAGAAGATTGAGATGAGGAGATTGACGCTCGGGCGAGAGAGAGAGAGAGAGAGCGGAAAGCTGTGATTTTTATTAACCCCTTATTTTTCTGCCAGATCCGCGTCGCTGTCATCTTATATTACGAGAATTAACTCCGAAACATTTCGCCCTTAGATTCCCGAATTTATTACGATTCTGCCACTGACCAGACCGGTTTATTTTCGGTTGAGATTTTTTTACAGAATTTTCTGCGAACAAAACATCTAAAACTCGGCGTTGTATCATATCATATTACACCTAGTTTACAATTTAGGGTTTTGATTTGAATTCGATTACGATCTCTGGAATACGTTATTGATGCCTATTTTTTTTGTCAAAGTTTTGGAAATCCTTTGATGTTTTCCACAGCATCTTTGGTTATTATGTTTTTTATTTTTGTGTGTGTGAATCCGCTACGAATGCTTGCATGTAATTCATCCGAGATTTTTTTACAACATTTATTAGTCTAGGACTGGGCGTTTTTACCCGAAAACCGAAGACCGGCAGGTACCTAAAATGCGGGCCAACGAGATTTTCCGGCACGAGCTCGGGCGGGACAGTGCTGGAGATGCTAACCTCGGGTTTGGGTTTGAGATATACGAGCCGACGCACGGGTATCCGAACCAACAGAAAAAAGGAAGTGGGAGAGAAAAAGCGGCGGTGATGAGGTGAGGCCGCGTGACGGCATCAACGAGAGCAACATTAGGGTTAAACCCTCTTGTCTCGACCCCTTCGCCTCGTCGATCCTCTCGATTTGACAGTCCACAGGCGATCCCTCACAGCCCTTGTCAACGGTACTCTGCAGATACCCGACTATTATGAGACCTAGACCGAGTTACTCAAAATTCGAAGAGATGAGACCGAGACGGCGGATAACCCGAAAGTCTCGAATACCATCCCTTGCCCGCACACCCCTTAAATGTTAACCGGATGTTGGTCACGATCGGAGTTCTCAATCTCTGATTGGTTTTTCAGATACAGAAACCTCCACGAATCAATGGACAAGATGGGGTATCTCTTGTTTTGTTCTAAAGATGTGTTGCAACTGAAAGAGAGAATGTGTCTGCTCATATTCTCTTGCATTTTCTTCAAAAGCCTTCAATCCTTTTTTTTATTATTATTATGGTTTCTTTATCATGAATCAGACAATTCAAGAATATGGGTATTCAAAATCCTTTTTGCGAATCTGTGATTAGATGAATCTTTTATTCCAATCCCAGGCACTGAGGGTATTTGTGTTATGGCACATCCTGCTACTCTATGAGACTGGCAACATTAACTTAACTGGCTGCATCCAAAATCCACGCTCGCTTACTCTTCCATAGGAACCGAAGGAGACGGAGAGGAAGTCGCGTGGCCCGGGTGGCAAAAAGACGATATTGTCCCTGGTCGGTTCCTATGAAACTGTGGATAATGCTTACACAGCCGAATTCTTCTTTCCCTCGTAGGTGAGACGAAGCAAGAAGAGAATCATTTCGCATCAAACACAAACGCAATGCTTTTTCAACACCACATGAAAACGGCATCTTTTTATTACAATTGTTCCCTATGCCAATCCAACACAACATACTAACAAAAAAAATCAAAAGGAACGAAATTGATTCAAAGATACAGCCAACGATATTTGTGGTGGACATACATGGCGTGGCTGTAGTCTGCCCGAAACGTTGGTCCAATTCACAAACACAAAACATACATAGGGTAGTTAATAAAGAATCCGAGGTTCTCGCTCTCTTTCGTCGAGTCGAGCCCCCATACGTAAACAATCCTCAAATGTAGAAGAGGGTGATAGTACAGAGGGATGAATCCATGGCTCAATGTTCTGTCCTTTGCCTGGTTCCAACAGCTTCATCCATGGTTCACCCGTCCTGAAACCTGCAAGAACATGATGTTTTCATCGTCAAGAACAATAAAAGCTGAATACTGAATTATCATATATGAAAACATCTGTCGGAAATGGTATCAAGTTTGTCGATGTGAGTTTCATCTTATTACCACATTTGAACTAAACTCAAATCCTCTTCCTAAAAATTTCTTTTGGCGAAAATCTAGCAAAGGCCGGTTATTCTTTCATTTCAGGAACTTCACCTTTAATAGAAAGCTATGGCGGAGCTTGTGACGGGCGGTGCATGACAGTGCGGTGGTAGTGAGGGTAGTGGTGAGATGTGTTATTGGACGACTGTGCGATGAAATATAGGCTGGGGAGTGTTGTTGGGTTGGAGAAAGGTTGATGCGGAAGAAGAAGAGGTGTGGTGGTGGATGAAGAAGGCCTAGCTGAGAACGAGAATCCTGATGATGCTGCATTGGACTGAACACCTTTCTCCTGCTTTCTTTCCTGGTCAAAATAAAAAGAGAGAAGAAAATTAAAAACAAAAAACGTAATTTTCTAACAAGAAATAAAAAGATCTATAAAACACATTGTAGTTGTTGCTATTCTTCCATCATCCAGTTAAGATCGACATTTACCATTCAAACTACAGCGTCAACTTCATTCAAATTTGTAACTCGAATGGAGTTTATATAAGTAGCCTAATGTGTATATTACCCATCTCAAACCAACTACATAGACTCGAGCCATAAGATATAAATTAGGCCAACACAACTAGTGACAGATATCTTAGCTGATCAAAATAGCAAGACAGGTGTGCCCATACCTTACCTAAAAGCTAAATGAATTCACTTAACTCGGGAATTGTTCATTGGCTAGCTGAAAAGTTTGGATCAGTTTATGGCAGTTGTCATATCTCATACGGTGTATGGATTGTGTCTTATGAAAATATTTGGATGCGTCGAGATGTGCTACTATGTTCTTTAGAATTTACCTCTGCTGAAAAGGAAGGAGAAGGTAACAAATTCCGGGGAATAGGATGGTCTGAACCCCTGTTCAAGAAATTGAAAGGTGGACCACGTACTGCAATGGCCGTGTGGTTCTCCATCTGTGATAGTAGATCAAAATGAAGAATGGTGAATTCATGGACCAAGCAAGAATCGAATCGTCAGAACTCAAGCTAGGGTTGTTTTGATCTGATAGCTAGAGGAAGAAGTAAATGTCGAACCACGCAAGCAAAAGTTTTCGCATCTTTCTGATTTGTAGATTTGCATAAAAATGCTGAGGAGGTGCTTAAACTTTGACTACTTGTCGAACCGAGACATTTGTGATAGCAAAGTGAAGCACAATAGAACAGATATATATGAGTGAGTACCTTGAAGTTCCATCCACCAGCAATATCATTAGGGACATGCTGAAGATGGAGTAACCGCTCATTTTGCTTCGAACCATCCCCACCAGGAGGAGATATCCCCAGGTCAAGGTCAAGCTTGACAGGAGCTAGTCAGAAAATCAGTAAAGAAGTCAACTAGAAGTCATCTCTGAAATACGGGGAACAGCTATATAAGGTTGGCTGCCATCGAACAAGGGCAAGGAGCAATACCTCTATTACTCGCCTCAGGGATCATCTGATAGGCACGAGGCTCAACATTAGTAGCAGCTTCCCTTTCATTCCATTTTATGGTTGTCCTGTCATAAGCCCTAGTTTCCAGAAGATACAAAGGCGTCATCATTGAAGAAAGCCAGAGAGGCGAGACCTCAGTGGACGAAATTTCAGTGGAAGGTGAGTTACGAACACAAGAATGAGTGTGACTTGACATTTACTTCAATAAAAAAAGGAAACACAGAGAATAGAAGGTGAATAATAGAAGGTGAATTGTATAAACCGGAACATTAGTTTCTCAAAATATCCATACGGTTTTCCAGGAAGCTGGCTCACTTGAGCTCCCCATCTGCCAAATTTGTGCAAATTCCCTCCTTGATATCTTGAACTGCCCCTTGAGAAACCAGTGCTCTGACGGCGAAGCATTTGCACAACTTCCTCCTTGCTAAGATTCGCCATCTGTTAAGTTTTGACATCATTTAACAACATTTGAAAACATGCATATAGTAATTTTAACTTTTAATATATGGCATTAAAACCTGTTTGATATCCTCATCATAATCGCCGACACTGAAATTGATATCAGCATCTAAACCCCGGAATTTAATAGCAGCCCGATCATAGGCCCTGCATGAGAGAAGCGGTTGCTGAATCTCAAATCACAAATCTTAGCACGATATTAAACAGAAAAACTATAGATTATGTTAGATCATCCAAGACACGGGTTGGAATTACCTAGCTGCAGCATGAGCAGTGTCAAATCCACCTACATCAGAATCAAAAAGTGGAGTAAATTAAAAGATGAACAAACACGGCAAAAATCAGTTTGCAGTAACACAAGATGAACCCTTTGAATCCATACCCAAATAGACTTGTTTGCCGCAATCCCTGTAGCCAGTAATTAGAAAAGGAAAGGTTAGTGTAAAAAAAACTAAGACCGAGCTTGCAGAACAATGGAGATTCAGGCACCCGAAACGGATAATCCATGTATCAACACTGTAATGAATCTCAATTTTCTTTTTGGTGGAACAATCTCAAATTTGATGTAACTAGATAAGTTTAACCCCAATTTGACCATTATTATGACCAGATTCGACCAAAATTATCCAGAAGAAACACATCAAGAATTCACCTACTATTACTCTGCAAGCGAGGAAAAAAAAAAGACAACAAAGATAAGATTACCAGATATGCGATTCCCATCTCCCAGTCCTCCTGTAGAACGTAACGCCTCTGTACTGCGAACTCTTCGACCTTGGTCCTCTCCTGCTTTTCTTCACCGGCTGTGCCGGGTGCTGCGTCACCCGCGTCGGCAAGCCCCCAATGATGTAACTAGATAAGTTTAACCCCAATTTGACCATTATTATGACCAGATTCGACCAAAATTATCCAGAAGAAACACATCAAGAATTCACCTACTATTACTCTGCAAGCGAGGAAAAAAAAAAGACAACAAAGATAAGATTACCAGATATGCGATTCCCATCTCCCAGTCCTCCTGTAGAACGTAACGCCTCTGTACTGCGAACTCTTCGACCTTGGTCCTCTCCTGCTTTTCTTCACCGGCTGTGCCGGTTGCTGCGTCACCCGCGTCGCAACGCCGCCAATACCGGGTCCGAGAATCTCGCCGGCTTGTTTCCACCTCTGGAAGGAAAAATCGATGGAGTTTCTGGAACATTGTGCCTCCGAATTCTGATAATCCCCACCGTTTCTGTTACCTCCGGTGACTGGAAAGAATTCCTTGGTAATCGCTGCTTCCTTTTCTTCTTCTTTTTCTCCTTCTCCTCCTGCTCCTCGTTTCAGTATACCGAATTGGAACGTGACGGTTCGTGTGGAACACGACTCTTCTTCCCCGTCCACGCAGCTTGACCCGTCGGCATTGACAACGGAGGAGTTTGACGTCACCGATTCATCCATTTGATTCAACACGACGCCGGAAGTCCCTTTGACCACAGCCGAATCTCCTCCGTCCGGACTTGATTTGGCCGAGCCGACCTCCAGATTGAGATCCAGCATCAAATCTCGGCACAATCAACACAAAATCCCGCTCAACTTCCGCAACCTCACAGGAACAACAGCAATTTTATAAAGATATTTCTCTTTTATAAAACTGTTCGTAAAGATCCTACATATTCTCACCCAAGCTATAATCAAATCGGTGATCGCCGTCGATTTGAACTGAAACAACGATCGAAACTCACATTTCAATGGCGCGACGCACAAGTAGTCATCCACAGAGAGAGATAAAACCAGGATTGGCGAGAGCGACGTTCCCGGTTCCAGTTCGTCACTCTGAACGACGGCGAAAATCGCCGGCAACCGGAGATAGTGAGAGAAGGATAGTTTGATCACGACGGATTCCGATGAGGTTGTGCAGTCATGTGATGAGAGTTTCCGGCGGAGTCAGTGGGCGGTGAGTAGCTCCGGCGGCCGGAGAGAAGCCGTCGGCGACAAAGACTGGGTTTGATGGGACGTGAGGTTGAGCACTATGAAGCCCGTACGTAATGGCGAGAAACGAATATAAATTGTTCCCCCTTTCCCGGTTAATGGAAACCGGTTATGCTTTTTTTTTTTCACCTTTTTCCCCTTCCGGTCTCCGGTTCCTAATTGTGGTTCTTTAATTCGGGTTCTGTTTAAAATTTTATGGTGCAATTTTTTTAAAAATTGAATATTTTAGGTAAAGAATTTAACAAATTTCTTGATTTCAAATATACTATGAAAAATATGTTAATTAAAAATGTATCTTATTTTATTTGGTCCTAACAAGGATTAATTTGATGAAAATAGATTTAATATCTTGCTTCCAATTGTATCAACACATGATGAATGAATTTGACAATAAACTCTACCATTAATGAATTTAACTAGAATTTTTCAGGGTGAAGAAACGTATCTACACACTTGGAATTGATTTATCGAGAAGAATATAAAATAATAATAAACTATGGATGAAATTGAAAACACTTGGGACCAGCAGACCCAACATATCATGGACGATACTGCATTTGTATTCATTTATAGGCGGGTCCTATTTTGTATGTTGGTCGTTAAAAAGATCTTATATTATAAATTATTGAATGTTTTATAATAATCACTTAACACCCTATGATATTTTGCATATAATATAATAAAATATTTAAATATCTAGATAATTTGAAAAAATTTAACATTCAAGGATTGCGACTAAACATGTATATTGTTTGAGTTTTTTCAAAATTCAGAATACTTTTTATGATATTGAATTACATTGATCAGATTTTATATCAAGATTTAGAAAAAAATATCTACTACAAGTTTCTCATTAAATTTTGAAATAAACTAATAAAAAAACTTAAAATTTAAACCAAATTTAAAATCTAATTATATACTCACTATTTATGGATAATTATAATATCTCACTTAAATTACATGTAAGATTTCCTAAAAAAATTTCTTTGTTATATATATATATAATTACTTGTACTTACTTTTATGAGGCAACAATCATAAATAAATTATTTCTTCTTAGGGAAAAAAAAACATCAATATCATAGTTGGTACTAATGATTATTCTGCACATAATCATCTCTTGCTAATCATAATTCATATATAGAAAATTCCCAAAAAAATCATCCAATTTAGAGATAATTATTAGCAAATTCATCATGAATTTTTAAAACACTCGTATTCATACCAAATTTGAAATTTTCTTCTAAAAAATCATTCAGAATTTGAATTTTAACAAATTTCTCATTGGCGCCGAATTAAGTTTGACACGTAGACAGAAAACACTTACGTAGTATCTACGTGGCATGTACTAACTCGTTACGTAGGATACACATCATATTAATAGTAAAAAAAATGTAAAAAATTGTAAAAAATTATAAAAAATGTAAAAAATGTAAAAATTGAAAAAAATTGAAAAAATTGTAAAAAACTTATAAACAAATTGTAAAAATTGTAAAGAAATTGTAAAAATTTTAAAAACCGATTTAAAAATCTCTACTCCATCATGATTTTTACAACTTTTTTACGAAATCGGTTTTTCAATTGTCATTCATTTCATATATATCATCCCCACCAATTATATTTATATATATAATTTTTTACAATGTTTTTACAATTTTTACAATTTTTTTTACAATTTTTACAATTTCTTTACAATTTTTACATTTTTTAGAATTTCTTTATAATTTTTACAATTTTTTTACAATTTTTTTTTTACAATTTTTTACAATTTTTTTTAAATTTATTTAAAAATTTTAAAAATTTTTATTATTAATCTGATGTGTATCCTACATGACGAGTTAGTACATGCCACGTAGACGCCACGTAAGTGTTTTATGTCTACGTGTCAAATTTAATTCGGCGCCAATGAGAAATTTGTTAAAATTCAAATTCTGAATGATTTAAAAAAAAAAAATTCAAATTCATTATAAATATAAACGTTTTAAAAATTCGTGATAAATCTACTAGTTATCTTTAAATTAGATGATTTTTTAAGAAATTTTCCTTCGTATATAGCAAAAATAAACAAACCATTAACTTTATATATATTTCTATGATATTAACATTAACTGTGCAATATATACATACTACTTAATTTTTTGTAAAGGATAGAAGTTCGAATGTTTGCCTGCCAATCATTTCTGACTTTTTTTAATTATTATTTCGATTTAAGTAATTAAATAGGATTAATTCGATATTATATTATTCGCACGTCTTTTTTTGAACAGTAAAAATATTATTCCTTATTATTTTTTAGTGCTTTAAGTGGGGTCATTTGGGAAATCCGACCGGCTATAGCCAGTTGCAAAAATTCTAATGTCAGAGAAATCTCGTAGACTAGACCTTTCAGCAAATCAAAACATGCCACGTGTGCAACAAGACCCATCCCCCCAACTACTCGTAGCTCAAAATTTCCCTCGGCTCTTTTAGATCCGACGGCCCACATTAGCCTCTGCGTTCCTGAAAATTAGGAATTTCTAACTTTTAAATAAATAATATATATATATTTCTCGATACAGGTTAAGATATTATAATATCCAATTACACCAAAAAACACAACGGTAACCAAGACGTTTGTAAAATATATATAAACAAAAAATAAATAAAACTAATAATGTCCAATACAAACATCTCATAGAAAATTTGCACAAGTATCCAAAAACTTCACGTCATTAGAAATCTATACTTTTTTTTTTCCTTCCTTTACAAACTATATTTTTTATAATTTTTTGATAAAAATACTCTTACTTTATTGTATAATTTCAATGTTGCCATTAAACATTTCAAAAAAATTACAGCATTAAAAATATATATTTTATTCAGAAACTGTGTTATCTCGGAAAACTGTTTTTTCATCCGGAATAATTATTTCCATCTGTGATAATCTGTTTTTATTTGGTTTAACTGTTTTTGTATACGAAAAAATAATTTTTTTATCAAGAAGAACTTCTCGTCCGAAAAAATAATTTTTTCATTCGGAAAAGACTTTTTTTTTATCCGAAAGAAATATTTTTTATCCGAAAAAATCTATTTTCGTCTGGGAATACTTTTTTTTAGAGAATTATTTTCATCGAAAAAAAATGTTTTTTATATGAAAAACAATTTTTTTTATACGTGAGAAATATTTTTCATTCGGATAAAAAACGTACACTCCCGAACGAAAAACAACTCTCTCGAAAAAACAGTACGTCCGGACAAAAAAACAATTTTTTCCGAACGAAAAACAGATTTTTCCGGACAAAAAACAATCCTCCCGGACAAAAAATCAATTCTCCCGGACAAAAAAAAGATTCTCCCGGATAAAAAACTCTCCCGAACAAAAACAGCTATCGTGGACAAAAAAAATTCTTCCGCACAAAAAACAGACTCTCCTGGACGAAAAACAGTTCTCCCGGACAAAAAACAGTTCTCCCGGACAAAAAACAGACTCTCCCGAATAAAAAACAGACTCTCCCGGATGGAAAACAGTTCTCCCGGACAAAAAACAATTCTCCCGGATAAAAACAGTCTCTTCCGGATGAAAAACAGCTCTCCCGGATTACACAGTTTTCCAAAAAAATCTGCTTTTTATATTATACATTTTTTCGGGACGCTAAATGACAATATTGAAATTATATAATAAAGTAAGGGTAGTTTTGTCAAAAAATTATAAAAAGGTATAGTTTGCAAAGGTCATAACTATTTTGTCATACTTTGCAAAATACCCCATCTTTTTGTTACACTTAATCAAGAAGCCCCAACAAAGGACCCGTTTGAAACTGAGATCTTGGTTTGATTAAGGACTTGATGTTTTGTAGAAATTTGTCATATTTTTTATCCATACTTTAAAAAATCCATTACAAACTTATTATTCAGCAAAACATAAAATAAACAAAATATAAAAAGAATTAATAATTACCCAAAGTTTTACAATAACAGAATGTATAATCGAGAGAGGCAACATTTTGAAGCCCATATTATACAAAAACATAATACTAACGCTTATAATAACATAAGTCATTGGCGGGAATCACGTTGGAGATGGGATACGAGGTTTGTAAATGAGTTGAAGACGTGGACACCTTATATCCATTAAAGGAAAGGTCTTTTGTGGCAACCTCTCAATACTTTACTATATATAGACAATATATTTAATAAATAATCGTCCAATACAAAAACCCTAAATGCCAATATCATAATATATCTTCTACCTATGGTGTTACCATATTAGGCAACGTTTTTATATTATATGTACTTTCACATTTCGGACCGACCAATCATTATTCTTTGCCATTATTGTATTCGACAGATATGACACGGCGGTTTGGCCCATTTGTAGTGGAGTTAGTCCACAATTCCGATTATACCCTTGTCTCTTTGCACATAACAATCTGAATCTGGTGGACCAAATTGGAATTTGGGTTGTATTTTTTTATTTAATGTGATGTAACAATACCCATCACATATTGATGTCTAAGTTGATGAGACGCCAAGACGTCAGAGTCATTATAAATGTTTTTCTCTGTTTTTTTTTTGAAAAATATTATTATTTATTAATAATAAAATTAAATTCCGTTCGAGTTATATTAAGTGTATTATAACAAATCCGTTAGGCATTCTTTTATTCCCTTTTCTGTTATTTGGGTTGTTACACAATTGTTAGCATCCTTGCTGTATATAACCAATTGTACAGACGTCTTTTTGCTCAGAGAATACAATTGAAAATTTTCACTCTCTCTCTTCACCGTTTCATCGGTTTCTCTCTCATTTCTGGGATTTTGCAGCTTTGCTGATATGGTATCAGAGCAAACATTCTCTTTCGTTTGCGATTTCTTCTGATTTTCTCTTTTTCTTTTTCGTTGGAATCTTCTATTCCTTCTTCTTTTGTCTTTCGGTTTCTTCAGATTTTCTTCGTTTTCTGAAGAATGACTGATTCGACGGGCTCTGTCACTCCTCCTCCTCCGATTCAATCTCAAGCTCATGATTCTTATGCCAGCCCTTATTATCTGGGTCCAAATGACCAGACAAACCTAATTTTGGTTTCTCGCCCCCTTACTGGAGCAACTGATTTTAACTCCTGGCATCGTTCTATGTCCATGGCGCTTGAAGGTCGGAACAAACTGGGTTTCGTGGATGGTACACTTCCTAAACCCCCTGATTCTGACTCTGATTCGGCTCTCTGGTCTCGTGCTAATCTAATGGTTAGTGCATGGATTATGAGCTCGGTTTCTGCTGAGATTCATGCTAATCTGTTGTATGTGAAGACTGCTAGACAGATGTGGCAAATCTTGTTGAAATGTTTTCAGCAACAGCATGCTCCTAGGCGCTTTAGTCTCAAACGGCGTATGTATGCTCTCCAGCAAGGTTCTTTGGATGTCACCACCTTCTTCAACAGGTTGTGTGCGTTATGGGAGGAGCGGAAATCTCTTCGCTCTTCACCTTATTGTGAGTGTGGCAAGTGCACTTGCAATGTTGATAACCGCTGGAATGATATGTTTGAAGAGGAGTTTGTTATGGATTTCCTTTTCGGTCTCAATGACTCTTATGAGAACATTGTGGATCAGATCTTATTAATCGATCCTTTGCCAGATCTTCAGAAGACCTTCCATCTGGTGAATCAACATGAGCATCAACGTCGCATTAAGGCTATTCCAGCTATGGATAATCCGACATTCCAGGTTTCTGCACAAGCTTCTAAACCATCTGATCTGATTGCAGCTGTTTCCGGTACCTTATTTAAGCCTAAATCAAAGCCTCTATGCACTCACTGTGGGATGTATGGTCACACTATACATAAGTGCTACAAGTTGCATGGATATCCCCCTGGGTATCGTAGCAACTCCAGGAACTCCGACTACAAGTCTGTTTCTGCTACTCCTCTGCCGAAGAATCTGAATCAGAGCAAGGGCACTGTCGCTGCTGTTCAGTCTGATTCAGGTCTGAATTCTTCCTCACCCTCTGATAATGACTTGTTTTCTCCTCAGCAATTGCAGAAACTATATCAGATGCTTGGGGAACGCCTGAATATTTCTTCCCCTCCCACTGTCTCTGCTTCTGGTGCACCTGATAAATCTGGTATCTCTCATTCCATTCACTCGCTGATTGTTGCTTCGGATGTAGTATTATCTACGCATGTGTTAGATGGTTTTTGGGTTGTTGATTCTGGTGCATCCACACACGTTTGTTCTGATTTGAGTCTTCTCACTGATATTAAATCTATTCCGGCAACCTCTGTCACTTTACCAAATGGTCAGTGTTTAAGCATTACAATTTCTGGGACTGTTGTCATTAATTCATTCTTATCTCTGCATGATGTTCTTTTCATTCCTTCCTTTCATTTTAATCTTGTCAGTCTCACTTCTCTTCTTCGTGCTAGTGATTATTCTTTTCATTTTAACTCTATTTCCTGCTTTATTCAGGATCATACTCAGGGTTACATGATTGGGAAGGCTAATCTTCACCACAATCTGTTTCTCCTGGACACTAGCTTTCAGCCCTTTTCAATATCAGCAACTTCATCTTCTTTTTCTTTTAGCTTTCCATGTAATACTGTTGTTGTTGATGCTAATCTTTGGCATCAACGCCTTGGACACCCTTCTATTTTAAAGATTAAGAAGTTGTCTGATACTCTTGCTATTTCTCAGAAAAATATTTCTATTTCTCATTGCAAAGTATGTCATCTTGCAAAACAAAAACGTCTCCCTTTTGAGTCTCATAACAGCCTTTCACCACATCCTTTTGATCTTATTCATATGGACATTTGGGGCCCCTTTCCAATTGTCTCTATGGATGGGTTTCGATTTTTTTTTACCCTCGTAGATGATGCCTCTCGGGCAACATGGGTCTATATGCTCAAACACAAAAGTGATGTTCTCACCATTTTTCCCGATTTTGTTGCCATGATTAAATGTCAGTTTGGAACTCAAATTAAAGCAATTCGTAGTGACAATGCATCTGAGTTAGCTTTCACCAAATTCTGTCAAGAAAACGGAATGAGACATTACTTTTCGTGTGCATATACACCTCAGCAGAATTCCGTTGTTGAAAGGAAGCACCAGCATTTGTTAAATGTTGCTCGGGCCTTGTTATTTCAGTCTAACCTTCCTTTGGAGTTCTGGCCAGATTGTGTGCGAACTGCAGTCTATTTGGTGAATCGTACGCCTTCACCACTCTTGCAGCATCGAAGTCCCTTTGAGGTATTGATGCTTAAACCTCCTACATACCATCATTTGCGGGCATTTGGATGTTTATGTTACAGCTCTACCTTTGCTCATGATCGGCATAAGTTTAGTCCGAGATCCAGTTCTGCTGTCTTCATTGGTTATCCTGACAATTACAAAGGTTACAAGCTTTTGGATGTTGATACCAATAGAGTTTACATCTCTCGGAATGTGGAATTTCATGAAAATATTTTTCCTCTTGTTTCTAACCCTATACATACTGAATCAATTCTTGATTCTGTGTTTCCTCAAACCATCATTCCACTGCCATTTTTTGACCCTGATTCTCCATCCTTTTCCACCCCAATACCCTCTGCTTCTGTAGCACAGCCATTGTCTTCAACTTCTTCTGATTCCTTGATTGATGCTGATTCTGCAGAAACTCTTTTACCAAACCCTGAAATTCCACATTCCCATATGGATCATACTCGGCCACAGCGCAATAGAAATCCTCCATCTTATTTACAGGATTTCCATTGTTATTCTGCTCAACATCACACAGCTTCCATTCCTTCTAAAACCGAGCCATTATACCCTTTGTCATCTGTATTATCTTATGACAAATTATCCACCCACTATAAGAACTTTCTTTTTCAACTTAGCCTCGAAACAGAACCTCGAACCTTTAAACAAGCTGTGTGCTCAGATAATTGGATACGAGCAATGGATGTTGAGCTTTCGGCCTTGCATAACAACGGTACTTGGACTATCGTTAGTTTGCCACCTGATAAGAGAAGTGTTGGGTGCAAATGGGTTTACAGAATCAAAAGGAAAGCTGATGGTAGCATTGAGAGATACAAGGCTAGATTAGTTGCGAAGGGTTTCACGCAACAAGAAGGGGTAGACTTTATTGACACCTTCTCTCCTGTTGCTAAGCTCGTTACTGTCAAGTTATTGATTGCTCTTGCTGCTACTCAGAATTGGCACTTATCACAAATGGATGTAAGTAATGCTTTCTTACATGGAGAGCTTGATGAGGAAATTTTTATGGACCTTCCTCCTGGTTTTACATCTTCTGTTCCTCTGCCTATCAATCCAGTTTGTAAGCTTCGCAAAAGCTTGTATGGGTTACGTCAAGCTTCTCGGCAATGGTATACAAAATTCAGTTCAGTCTTGCTACAGGCTGGGTATCGACAATCACAATCTGACCACACGTTATTTGTCCGGAAACAGGGTTCTGTTTTTGTGGCCTTGCTTGTTTATGTCGATGACATAATCATCGCTGGAAATAATGCTGATGCGATTCATCATCTTAAGTCTCTTCTTCGGCAGAATTTTCAGATCAAAGATTTGGGGGATTTGAAATATTTTCTGGGATTAGAAGTTGCACGCAACTCAACTGGAATATCAGTTTCTCAGAGGAAATACTGCCTCGAATTACTTGAAGATACAGGTCTCCTTGCCACGAAACCTGTCTCTGTTCCTCTGGATCCCAACTCTCCTTTATCACAAGAATCTGGTCAGCTTTTGGAGGACTCGACCCAGTATCGCGCACTTGTTGGTCGACTTCTTTACTTGACTATTACCCGACCAGATATCACTTTCGCCGTGCACAAGTTAACTCAGTTCATGTCCCGACCTACTGATATACACATGAAAGCTGCACTTCGGGTTATCAGATATTTGAAAAATGATCCTGGACAGGGATTGTTTTATTCTGTCAATTCTCCATTACATCTAAAGGCTTTTGCGGATGCGGATTGGGCAACTTGTAAGGACTCTAGAAGATCAGTCACCGGATTTTGTATCTTTCTCGGTTCTTCCCTGATTTCTTGGAAGGCTAAGAAACAGAGTGTCGTCTCTCGCAGTAGCACTGAGGCTGAATATAGAGCTTTAGCAAATACAACATGCGAATTAATCTGGATCGACAGTCTTCTCCAGGATTTCCAAGTCGATTACATCAGGCCGGCGAATTTATACTGTGATAACAAGTCGGCTTTACACTTGGCTTCTAATCAAGTGTTTCATGAGCGGTCTAAACACATAGAGATAGATTGCCACATTATTCGAGACAAGATTCGGCAGGGTTTCATTCGAACTATGCATGTTTCGACAACAAACCAGCTCGCCGATGTATTCACGAAATCCTTACAGCCGAATATCTTCCATAATCTATTGCAGAGGTTTCATTTGTCAAGTCTGTTTCTCCCGAATCAGACTTGAGGAGGGCATATTAAGTGTATTATAACAAATCCGTTAGGCATTCTTTTATTCCCTTTTCTGTTATTTGGGTTGTTACACAATTGTTAGCATCCTTGCTGTATATAACCAATTGTACAGACGTCTTTTTGCTCAGAGAATACAATTGAAAATTTTCACTCTCTCTCTTCACCGTTTCATCGGTTTCTCTCTCATTTCTGGGATTTTGCAGCTTTGCTGATAAGTTACGGGCTTGTTATTATTATGTAGTCTTAATATCGAATTTTTCATAGTAGCTTGATTTTTCATAATAAAAATAAATTCCGCTTGATTTTTTTTTAAACTATTTTTATTTTTTCATATTCTAAAATTTACAAGTATGCGATCGAAAAGTTAACCGAACTGACCCCCAAATATTGGATAATCAATATCATAATTTTCGGATTGAATATTCGACCAACTCTAATGTTTGTGATGTATAATATATAACAAAATAACGACTCGAAGATTGCGCGTAAATATAATCGTTATCAGAATAGTATCGCCGATTAATATATTAATTTTTTGCAAAATAGAAAGAAAAAAAAAGGTATCAAAATTAATTGGGCCATGGTTTTGGGCTTATTAGGTTAATAAAATATTATCCATTTGCATAATTTGGGCCTGTATCGGGATTCCTCGTCAATTATTTTAGCACGTGCTGCGACTCTTGTCCCCACACGTGACGGGAGGATTGACCAGTGACCACTTTTTGCAAGTTGGATAGTGTTCACACATACGATACATGCCTAGTCATCTAAACTTTTAACGTATTACACAATTAAATAATTAATAAATGATCCACTTGGTCGGGGTCCGACAATGATATAAAGCCATTTTGGAATTACATTTTTTTTTAAATTTTGTTCACATTTTATTATTGTTATTAATATTTGTACCCACTTTTATCCGAGGCTTTGGAGACAGACGCAATACAGAGTCAGACATTCACACATTTTGTAAACGACCCCTAACTGCCTCAAAAAAGCCTCTTGCACTACTTCGTCCACAATGTGAAATACCAAACTTACCCCTACAATGTGAAATACCAAACTTACCCCTCTCATATTCTCTTCCACTACAAGTTTTTCTTTTTTCTTTTTCTTTCCGCTACCAAGTTTCTCTTCTTCTTTACCATTATTTTCGAATTCGATTATTTTAATTTTATAAAAATTATATTCGTTTGGTTAATATACTGTACCTTACTTAAAAAAATATCTTTATTTATTTTCTTACGTTCTTGTTCGGTTCAAATCGATCATGTGGATTCGTTTTTTTTTTATAAATCATGTCTCATTTTTTCATCTCCTTTGGTTCAAACACAAATGTCCAACTTTGTTTACGTCATGCCTCGAATTTACCAAAATAACCCTGAGAGTAGCTTGGTCACCAAGTAAAGCCCTGACAGTCTCTCTCTCTCTCTCTCTCTCTCTCTCTCTCTCACACAGCTTAAATTTGGGCATTCGCTTCACTCAGACTCATCCTCTTTCACTCGCACACATTTCTCTGTTTTTTTTTTCTTCTAAAAAATCGTTTACTTACAAAAAAAAAATAAAAAAATCAAAGTCTCTGTCTTGTAAGAAATGGAGGTTTCGTCTCCGAAGAGACTGAGGAGGGAGGAGCAGCAAACGCTGCCGCCGAGAAGAGGCCGAGTCAAGGTCATGATCGCTCGCGAGTTTCTCAGATCGACGGCCACGATCGCATCCTCCTGGACGAACAAGAACAAGAACAAGAACAAGAACGACCGCGGCGGCGATGCCAGTCCGATCTCCTCCTCCGCCGCAGATTCTCCCGGCGGTTACACCTCCGACGACAACCCTTCTCCGTGAAATCGTTCTCGACGGCTTTTCTCTGTTCATTGAATCTCGGATGTACATACGCAGTTTCTGGAGTATATTTTTGTTGTAATATTATGTTTTTTTTTTGTATGGAATTCTCGTTTGTAAATTCCAACTTGGATAAGTTCCTCTCTGTAAATTTACTTTCAATTTCGCTCGAATATGGAATGAAGGAACCGATTATATCGATCGAATGAAGGACCGCTAAAAGATTCCGGCGCAGCTTCACCGGCCGATTACATCTCCGGCGACGAGCTGTCGCCTTTGTTATTGGGCCGTGGCTTTGTAAATGGGCTTTGTGTTTTCTTAAAAGTGTGAAAACAATATTCGAATCATAACATTTTGTAATGTAATATTTGAGAAATCGAACAAATATACAAATGCAGCAAATTCTATTATTTATGATTTAGAAAATTTATAATCTCTAGACATTATGTATATTTTTGGAATAAGATATGTTATTGTAACAGACGATCTCTCTTTTTTTTTTTGCGTCTTTGATATTATTTTAGACGAAATTCTCAAAAAGTTATTTCGCCATTGAAAATAGTCTCTAACCTTAACCCTTTCCTCGCTGCTCACTCAGTCCACTTCTCTCTTACCGCCGCCGCCGCCGCCGGGACCATCGTTGCCGACGTTGCCACCGTACCTCACCGGACCCTCGATGTCACTCGATCTGTCTCGTCTTTCAGTTTCCTCGGTTCCTCGCCTCTCGTTCGCTGGTCACCGGCGGCGGGAGTTTCGCCTGAAAGGTACCGCCTTTCCTCTTCTTTTGTTTTGTTCTGTGGCGGGTTCCGGCATTTCCGACGTATCCTTGGTTTAGATGTTTTAAATTGAAACGGGTTCTGTAACTTGGATGATTTCGTCGGGGTTTGGATTGATTTTACTTCACGTAGTCGTCGTTGAATGGAATCAGGAAGGAGATTTTCCATGGAAATGTTTCCGCATGATAAATTATATGAAGTGTTGTGAATTGCGTTGACAGGACAATTCTGCAACAGATCGACGGTTAGGTGTTCCATGAAGTCTTACAGATTGTCCGAACTTAGTTTTTCTGAGGTAGAGAAGCTAAAGGCTCGCCCACGCATCGACTTCTCATCAATTTTCAGCACAGTAAGTTGTTTATGTCTGATTAGCTTAACCCAGTTCATGCTCTTAGAAAGGCTTTGAGAATTTCCCATGATTCTTGTGAGTGATATGAGCTCGTATTGCACTAGGTTAACCCGATTATCGACTCTGTTCGAAGCAAAGGAGATGCTGCAGTCAAAGAGTTTGTGTCTCTTTTTCTATTTGAGCTCATTTTTTGATTAGCTTATGGAAGATGGGATTGATTACCCTTTTCTTTGTATGGCTTGATTTAGAATTAGATCATTAGGGTTTTAACTGCCATTGTTTGCTTCGATGTTACGCTTCTCAGATACACTGAAAAGTTTGACAGAGTTCAACTAAGTAATGTTGTTGAAGATGTGTCTGAACTTCCTGTTCCTGAGGTATATAGTTTCTTCGGTTTCTCCCTGATTAACAGATTTCTTTCAGGACTCCAAAATGTTGGTTGGTGTATGATAGATGGTTTTTCTTTGTGTGAATGTTCCTTCATTTCACTGTCATAGCTTGACAAAGCAGTTAAAGAAGCATTCGATGTTGCATATGACAACATATATGCATTTCACTTGGCACAAAAATCAACCGATAAAAGCGTCGAGAATATGAAAGTAAGCTGATGAAATTAGTTCGTCTCTTCTTCTTCTTTCAATCTCGTGTCTTATACTGATCTTCTGTTTTCAAGTTTGTTAGGGTGTCAGATGTAAAAGGGTACCGAGATGTATTGGTTCTGTTGGTCTTTACGTTCCTGGTGGAACAGCCGTTTTGCCTTCAACTGCTCTGATGCTTGCAATTGTAAGTCAATGGTGTCTATTCTATTCAATACTCTTGCTGCTTCATTACTCATGTGGTTCTTTATGATTAATAACGATGGGGATCTTCTTTTTGCCAGCCTGCTCAAATTGCTGGATGCAAGACAGTTGTTCTTGCAACACCACCAGCTCAAGATGGCAGCGTCTGTAAGGTATATGCATTGATCCTTTTTCAGTGTATTCACTTCAATGTTAATCTATTTTGTCTTTCTGGAGCTGATGGGTCTTTTTGTTTGTAGGAAGTGTTATATTGTGCCAAGAAGGCTGGTGTAACTCACATACTTAAAGCCGGGGGAGCACAGGTTCGGACATGTGGATCATTTCACCTATGATTTTCCTGTTGTTAATTCTAGAAATGATCATCTAAGTGTTGCAGGCTGTAGCTGCCATGGCTTGGGGAACTGATTCTTGTCCTAAGGTACAAACATGTGCCTTGAGCCATCGCTTGTCACGGAAATATACATTCATTCGGGAATTTAGGTGGTCGTATCTGGACTTATGTTGATATCTTTATGGCAGGTCGAGAAGATTTTCGGTCCTGGAAACCAGTATGTTACTGCTGCTAAGATGATTCTTCAGGTACCCATATCATTCAGGAAAGGACTATGGATAACGAATGAATAGTTCTTATGTTAATTTTTCCCTCTCTTCCTACAGAACAGCGAGGCGATGGTTTCCATTGATATGCCAGCCGGCCCTTCAGAAGTCTTAGTCATAGCTGACGAGCATGCCAGTCCAGTTCATATTGCAGCGGACTTGCTTTCTCAGGTATTCTCTCGATTAAACCATTTCGTTCCTTTGGTCATAACAGTATCATCCTTCTATGATCTGCCTTTTCTGCCTACTCGTTTTAGTGATTTTTCTCGGGCTTTTCCCCCTTCCTTATCTGCTTTTGTACAAGACAAGGCTAATCTTTTTCGTTTTTTGTCCTTTTCTCCCCACAGGCTGAGCATGGTCCAGATAGTCAAGTTGTCCTTGTTGTTGTTGGGGATCTTGTAGATGTGAAAGCCATTGAAGAAGAGATAACCAAACAGTGCAAAAGCCTTCCTAGAGGAGAGTTTGCTTCTAAAGCTCTAAGTCACAGTTTCACAGTCTTTGCCCGAGATATGATCGAGGTTAGCCCCGCTTCTGAGATTGAGCATCCGTGAAGAAGATTTACCGTTCATTTTAGATAAGAAAAAAAAAAGTTTTAACAATAGCTAAAAAACCAATTACCTGAGTGTGGCAACCATGGTGGAAACGGTTGCATTTTTTTTTTTTTTTTTTTTT